TCAAAAGAAAAAATATAAATGGCTACTAAACAATTTAAAAGCTATTCACCACAATTGGCCATAAGGAAAATGCATATTTAAACTACTTGAGATTCCATCTCACCCATCTCAAAATGGCTATCATCAAAACAAATAACAATAAGTGTAGATATGGATGTGGGCAAGGAGAACACTTGGTATCATCATTATGGAAATCAAGCAGAGGTTTCTCAAAAAAGATAAAAATATAATCACCACATGCCACATGAGCCTTGTATATCAATCCTGGGCACATAGTCAAGGATTCCATATCTTCCTGTACACATTACTTCTCTATTCACAGTATCCAGAAAAATGAAATCAACCTGGATGCCTAATGGATATTGAATATGTAGTACCTATACATAATGGAATTTTATTCAGCTGTAAAGAATTACAAAATGATGAAATTTGCAGAAAAATAGATGGAACTGCAAGACACAACAGTGAATTAATCCAGGCCCAGAAAGATAAACGTTCCATGTTATCCCTCATATGTGAATCCTAGCTTTGATTTCTTTTGTAGATTTATGTGTTTAATTTGGAGTGTCTGTAGAGGTCAAAAAACTAGAATGGGCCCTTGAGATGAGGTACTGTTACAGGTGATATGATACCACACCCTTGTGTGGTGGTATATTATTTATGATTTATTAAAGCTTGCCTGAGGGTTGAGAATACAAAGCTAGCCACAAGCCATAGATATCAGGTAATGGTGATATATACCTTTAATCAAAGCAGCTATACTAGCAAGTCATAGGGCCATGTAGTGGTGACACATACCTTCAATCTCAGGACTTGGGAGACAGGCAAATGAATCTCTCTGAGTTTGAGGCCACTATGACCAACACAAGAGTGAAGAGTAACATAGCTCACACCTTTGATCCCAGCACTGAACTGACTATCAGAGACCTTGCATGAGACTGACCTAGGCTCTCTACATATTTGTGACAGTTGTGTAGCTTGGTCATCTTGTGGGACTCCTAGAAGTGGGACTCCTCATGCTGGGACTCCTCATGCTGGGTCACCTTGCCCAGGCTTAATACAAGGGGAGATGCTTAGTGTTACTGCAACTTGATAGGTCATGCTTTGTTGATATCCACAGGAGGACTGTCCCTATCTGAAAAGAAACAGGAGTGGATTGGGGAGTTCAAAAGGGAGATGGTTAAAGGGACTGGGAGGAGAGAAGGGAGGGGAAGCTTCGGTTGGAATGTAAATTAAATAAATTTAATTAATAAAAATAAACTCAATAATTTAAAAGTCAAACAGAGGGGCCATGATAGTAGGACACATGCTATATGAAAGTTGAGGGGAGTAACAGTGAAGAGTTAAAAGGCTTAAATGGAAATTGGGATGGTATCATAGGGGAGAACAGGAAGTAGGGTTGCGGTAACTAAACTAAGGATGTATGAAAACCTTTTATGGAAACATACTACTGTGAAAACTAATTAAAAATATAATGAAACGAAGGAAGTTTGAACTCATGTACCTGTATCGATGGACAGTGCTTGCCCCAGTAGACGTAAATTAAATTAAAATCCCAGTGCCAGTTGAGAGATACCTGCCTATGAGTTATTGTTCAGAGAGACTCTAGAGCTATCCATACTGATACAGATATTGCCATCATTCTGGGTTACCTGACATAACTAGATGTTGAGGCTATATTGCTTAAGATACAGCATACTTCAATTGTAGGGCATAGAGAAATAATTCTGGAACTCATCTGAAAATTCCCTCTCTGCTAGCCAATTTCATAGTTCTGGAAGATGATAAACAGACCACCTGGAAGATGCTATGCAAACTAGAAAATTCATTAATAGTATTACCCACTGGTAAGCTCTGAGTGCTACAATATCAACCTTCTAATCAATATGTGCTTACTATTGCAGCAATGACATGGCTGTTATCAGAATACCCTACTACTTTCTGATTAATTTGAGGTCTGATATACAGGAAGAACTCATATTTAATACTATAAACCTAGTAAAACAACTCATGAATAAGGAAGTCATAGTTCCTAGAGGTATACTGTTTATTTGCTAAATGGATATGTTGTCAAAATGACTTCTAAACATGTTTGTATTAAATTAGTGTTGCTCTTAACCTTAGTCAGATTCTGCCATGGATAGCAATTCATGCAGTGACTCACAACTTAGAACAAAGTTCTAAGAATGACTGCTAAATGTTTAACCCTAAATGGGACATCTATTTGAAATTTCCTAAGGCTCAGGAAACATTGCAGAATAAAAAGTAAAAAGACTAAGAGCCAAATGATGGAGAGGAGTGTTATGAAATGCTATCTTCTGAACATGGTCATTATATTCATGAATTTACAGCAGCTGAAGTTATCTGCACATAACCTGTACAAAATCTAGCCAGTCCAATCAGTAAAATTTTACAACAGGTAAGACTGAACTAATTGGGTTACAAAATAGATAGAGGTCTGGGAGACTTGTCTCTTCCCCTTCTGTGAGGGACAGTGGGGGCAGTGGGGGGCAGTGAATGGAGAGAGAAGTAGGAGAAAGAGAAGAGGAGGACAGTAAAGCACATGCGACTAGGAAGATTGAGTCATGGTAGGAATAGAAGACAGGGGAGAGAGGGAGAGAGAGAGAGAGAGAGAGAGAGAGAGAGAGAGAGAGAGAGAGAGAGAGAGAGAGAGAGAGAGACAGAGAGAGAGAGAGAGAGAGAGAACATAAAAGAGGGAGCCATTATTGGTTTGAAGAAAAAACTGAACCTAAAGAAAGGTCTAGAGACCTACAAAACTGCTGCCAACTAACAATTTGAACACTAACAATTTGAACAATGGTGGAAAGGCTACCATAAATGCCCTTCCCGGATAGTGAGATCAACACCTAACTTATCCACCATCATGGAGCCCTCATCTAGTACCTGTTGGAAACAGAAGCAAACACCCATAACTAAACACTGAGTCGAACTAGAATCCAGATGCAGAGGGAGAGGACAAGACCAGGTTGCAGAAACACATAGAGACAGCTTACCTGAACAAGGAGGAGCTAACAGGCCCCCAGACTGATAGCTGGGAAGCCAGCATGGGACTGACTCAGGCCCCTGAATATGGGTCTCAGCTAGAAGGACTGAGCAGTCTAAGGGACCTCAGACAGTGGAACCAGGATGTATTCCTGGTGCACAAAAGGACCTTGCGGACACATCCCCTATGGAGGGATACTCCCTTAACCTAGAGACAGGAGAGAAGTCCTAGTCCCTACTTCAAATGACTTGACAGATTTACATGACCCCATCTGGATGGCATTGCCCTACATGTGGAATTGGGGTGGGGGATGGGAGGGGAGAGTGGTCAGTATGCATGTGAGGGGGGAGAGAGGGTAAGAGGGAAGGAGGGATGGAGGGACAGAGAGGAAACTGGGATCAACATGTAAAATAGAAAACAATAAATAAAATGAAAAAAACAGAGAGTGGACATTAAGGTGGGAAGGAGATATTCTTGGAAGTGTCTAGTAGGAATAGGAGAGGGAAGTTGAAGTACCTCTGCATGAAATCACCAGAGGTTAAATAAAGGACAAAGAAAACATAAAAATAAGGACTGGAAATTGATGGGGGATGTCCTTCCGTATATATGTTTCACTTATTGGTTGATGAATAAAACACTGATTGGCTAGGCAGGAAGTATATGTGGGGCAAAAAAAGGAAGAATGAGAGAGATGGGTGGAGAGAGATGCTATGTAGCCTTCAGTGTTGACTGATCTGCCCTCCTGACCTTTATTCTGTCTGTCTCTCTCTCTTTATTGTTTATAGCTGGCCTTTCCCTCATCCACACTCCCCCCACTCAGGTACAGACTTAGAGCCACTCAGCTGGCCCTGATTGCAGCCCCGCAAAGACCGCTCCCAACAATAGCCAGCAAAGGAGCAATATAGGTCCAGGCATCCTCTGGTAAGCCAAGACCATGTGAAAATACATAGATTAACAGAAGTGGATTAATAATTAAGACAGAGCTAGCCAATAAGAAGCCCTAGTCATCAACCAACAGTTTATAAATTAATATATGTCTGGCAGGAAGGAAACTTCAGCAACAGAAAATATAGTTCAATGGTGGCATATTTGCATACCTCATATGAAACCTTAGGTTCAATCCCAGTATCACTAAAAAAGGAAAAAGGGCAAAAAAGATGAGAGTTCAAGTAATCTGCTCTGACAGATGATATTACTTAATAGACTGTGGGAAAGCCCTAGAGGTGGGACTGTTGGCATAGGGGATGTTTAATTTCTTTCCTAGCAAATGAAGTAACTGTTTCAGTACACATCACTTCAGAGGTAAGTCAAGAGGAAAAAGAACTTGCAGTTTTATGAAAAACAATTGGATAACTGGTTGATGCTTGCATTTATGGAAAATTTTGATTTTATAACTAGAAATGTCTTCTTTTGGTAGACAATAAGGTTCAGAAAAGACTTCAACGTGTCCTACATGTTGTTTTTGCTTTCAAATTTACACTATACAGAGCTGCCTTTTGGAGGTTTTATTTCTCCACCTTTCACCATTGAAGCAAAAGTATATAAAGAATCTGAGACCAAAACTAATAAGTATTTGTTCTACCTTACTATTAGTTGCTCTGGCTCTTTCTGGGGAGGAGATCAAATGCCCTTCTTCTTCTTCTTGAACTGAGTGCCACTCTCCAGAGCCATCCTTTTATAGACTTACTTATCAGTTCACACCTAAATGAACTCCTCTTCCTCTAAGGAGAAAAGCTCTAAAGAGAGAAGGAAATTGGGTAAGGTAGGTTCTGAAACAGGCTTTACCTTGTTAGAAAACAACCTTGACTATACATGGGGTGCCTCAGCAATACGGCGACATGAGTCATTCTAGTAACCATTGTATTTTTATTAATTTTTTAAACAAATGTAACAAACAGTTTCTTTTCTTTCATAAAATCAATTTAAAACACTTAAGTATTCGCAACAATATCAATTTATGAATATACAAAGAGAGAAAAACATTAATGGATAGTTACTTATAAAAGGAACATTTTAATCATAAGATAAATGCAGCCTATGTGTATGTCTATCTTGACAGCTGCTGTCAGAGGTCCTCAGCCCAATAATGACCACAACAAAATCTCCTCTAGAAGGTTCTTGTCCAAAGGAGGTATTTTGGAGACTTCAAAGAAGGCCCTGCAAAAGGAAATATGATCTTCTTAGAAGAAAAATTTCCAAAGCAAAACAGGTTCCCCAGAGGAAATTGCACATTAGAGCCCTTGGTTTCCTATCAGGCTTTAATTGTAGAATAGAAAGGAAGGTGTGAAGTTTCTGAATCTTCTTTTTAAAAGTGCGATTGTTCTAGACCCACTGTTTTAAAGACTTTCATGACTGAGCATAAACTCAGCTTTAACTGGAGTATGGTACTTACTCTTCAGCATACTTCTCATACACATTCTTGAGGCAACTATGGGGTTGGAAAATCAGTGAATCGTTCAGCTTCCTGACCAAGGTGTGAAGCTCAGCAATCTCATAGCCAGTGTAATGTTCTAGTAAAGGAATCTGAAAAAAAAAAAGTATACCCTATTCTCCCAACATGCTACACATGTCCAAACATCCCATCTCTTGTTTAGGCAGGGGAGATACTCAAAACACTTCAAAGACTTATGTGATACAGATACTTACTAATAATTATAGGGTAGCACCTAAAAGAGTAAATTTCAAACACAAACTTCTATGGTTATGTCCAAGCATTATCATTTATATGTTTGCCCTAGTTATAGATGCCTGTGTGAGTTAAATCCACCAAAGACCTAAGGAATAGGACTAGTTTTAGAATTTTACACCAAACACACCACACTCATTCATTTAGCACCTTCATATCTTTTCACTTACTACTTTGCCCACATCAAATATATCCTCTTACAAATTCTACTTCTCTTTCAAGACTGAGCTTTAAAATGACCTCTTCTGGTTATGGGTGGGATTAATGAAACATATGATATGAAAGTAGATGGGAGGGATTCTGAGGGTGGAAAGCTCTAATTGAGGATAGGGCTAGGAGTGGCAGGAAATCAAAGGTAAATGAATTAATTACTTTTAAAATATAATAATAATAAAGCTTGAACAGGGATATTCTGTATGAGTGGATAATACTGTGCCCAGAAGCCATAGGCTAGTAAACAAAAATGCCAGTGCTAGGTGTGGGATACCTCCCTATGAATTGTTGGTCAAGGACGTCTCAGATGCCTCCAAATCAATACATGCTATTGCTCTTTCTTTTTCTCTGCCCACAAAAATTAAATGGTAGGAACTGCTGAAGACTCAACATAGTTCGATTGTACAATATAAGGAAAATGAGTTGAAACTGAACTACTAGCTTCCTTCTAACTGGCTAGCTTTCAAATTGCCATAAGGTGCTATACAGGCCAATTAGGATGAAAAGTTATCAACAGACTCACCTAGTAGCAGACCTTGAATGTGGCAATATAAATCTGCCAGTCAAGATGTACCTACTGGCATATTAGTGACATGATTGTTATAGAGGTAAACAACTACTTTCCTATTAAATTTGAGGCTTCACAAGCCTGTACTATATATAACCCTGGTCAAAAGTCCATGGCTGGGGAGATTAAAAGCCCTAGTGAGAAACTTGCTGCTATTTTTTGCTAAATCAATGTATTGTCAAACTGTTTTTTTAAACATTCATGTTTTGGCATCTAACCAATCCATATAGCCAGATCCAGCATATACTTCTCCAGGGTCTAACATAATGAATCTTCTTGGCCTTCCCCTCCATACAACCTATCCAACCTTCCAGATCTAGCCTGGATCCCACATCCAATGATCCTGCTTAGCCTGCCCACTCCTGCCTGCTCCAAAACCAACCTCTAAGATTTTATCAGACCCTGTCCTGACTACCCTCCAAACCACAGGCTCCTCCCATACATATTCAACCTTTCTTCCCAGCCAGATATACCCATATCCTCCAGACTTGAACCAGGATGCACATACAGCAAAACAACCCAATCCCCTCTGTCAATCTAACTTCATTCTACTTAAGCCATTTCTCACCTCTGGGCCAAACCCACCCCCACATCTTCCCTTCTTCCCGAATCTGCTGTGTCTATATCAGACACAGAACTAGCTAAAGAAATCCACATGGCCATATCTCGTTAGCAAAAATTCCAACAATATGAAAGCAATTATCTCCCCTCTAAAACTTACCAATCCCATAGAGATGTTTGCTATTGAGAATTACCTAGAAGAACTCCAAGACACGGAGTTTAAAAGAACAAATCATAGTCTCTATCAAATAATTCAAAGAGTTTAAACTACTAAAGGCATTGAGATGTTTCACAATGATCCCCAAGAAAACAAAAACATAAGGCTAACAGAAATGACAAAGACGATATGAGATATGAAAGTCGACTTCAACAATGACATAAAAATACTGAAGACTCAGGCTGAAATGAAAATGGAATTGAAAAACCCAATAAACCAACTAGAAAACTCAAAGGGAAGCCTTAGAAGTACAGTTAATAAAACAGAAAATAAAATATAAAGACTCTAAGATAAAGTAGAACATACAGACTAAATAAGCAAGGAATATGAAAACAAGTTTGAACAAATGAAAGGAAGATACAGGAAATATGAAACAACTTGAAAAATCAAACTTTTGAATTACAGGCATAGATAAAGGAGAAGAATCAAAGACAATGGCATAGACCAGATCTTCAACAATATCATAGAAGAAAACACTCCCAAACTAGGATACAGATACAAGAAGCACACATAGCATCAAATAGACAACACCAAAAAAGAAAATTCTTCCAGTACATCATAGCTAAAACACTAAGTATAAAGTTCAAAGAATGTTGAAAGCTGCAAGGAAAACAAAAACAAAAACTGAAACCACATATAAAGGAAAACTTGTGAGAATAACAGCTGACTTCTCGATGGAAATTTGAAAAGCAGAAATGCCTGGAGTAATACATTCCAATTCCTGAAAGACCATGACCAACCTTGACTAATATATCCAACAAAAATATCTGTGTAGTTGAAGGAGAAAGTCAGACTGTCCAGTATATACATATCTTGAAATTTTTATTTTCATCAAAAAAATCTAAAGAAAGCATATGAAGAAACAGAGAAGATAAACACAAAGCAATAATTAGTAAGATACAAAGTACCTGATCCTGCCTCAACTAGATGATAGGACAGACTTAGTAGACTTCCTATGGGAAACCTCACCCTCTCCATGAAGCAGATGGGAGGGGGGAGTGGAAGGAGTGAAAAGGAAAAGGGAGGGGAATTGGGATTGGAATGTAAAAAATAAATTAATAATAAATAAATTGTACAAAGTATCACTCAGAACACAAATAATACCAAAAGAAACAATACAATGACCATAATTAACTCACACACATTTCAAAAATAACTTTAAATATTAATAGACTCAATTTTCCAATCAAAGACACTAGCTTGCTGAACAGAACAAGCAACCAAATCCACCCATCTCTTTTTTTCAAGAAACACATCTTATCTTTACAGATAGCCACTACCTTAAAGATGTACAAAAGTACTCTAATCAAGTTGGGCATAAAAGCAAGGAGACATCACTATCCTAATAGCTGAAAAAAAAACAGACTCCACACTAAAAGTAATCAGAAAAGATAAAGAGGCACAATTCATTCTAATCAAGGGAACAGTTAACCATGAAGATGTGTGTGTGTGCGTGCGTGTGTGCGTGTGTGTGCGTGCGTGCGTGTGTGTGTGTGTGCGCGCGCGCGCGTGCACATGCACCAAATTCTGGGGTGTCCAATTTCATTTTAAAAATTACTATTGGATTTAATGACACAGATTAACTTCAACCTAATATGTGGCGTCAATATCTCACTTTCTCCAATAGACTAGTTATCTTGACAAAAAAAAATTATACAGAGTATCATTAGAAACAGATGTATCATACATCTAAAAGCTACAGAGTATTCCACCCAAACACAAAAGAATGTCCATTTTACTCAGTAGCACATGGAAGCTTTTCTGAAATAGGCCACATTCTGGGACACAAAACAAATATTTAAAAATTCAAAAAGACTGTAATCACTGCTCACACAGTATCTGACCACAATGGAATAAAACTTAAAATTTCCACAGCCCCAGAAGCTTTACCAGAGGCCAGAGTGGTCCTAGGGACCCCAGGTAAGATAATACCCACCATCCACTAAACCATTTTAAGCCCATCCAACAACCCTAGATGGTACCCCTACCCCTGGGTTCTATATCCCTATTTACTGCTTTGGAATACTTTATCAGAGGTCAGGCAGGATCTAGAAACCTCAGGTAAGACACTACCTACCACCTTGACCAAAAATAAACTCAAAATGGATCAAAGATATAGACATGAAACCTAGAACACTGAAACTTCTAGAAGAAAACATAGGCAGTATAGTATATGATATAGGTGTGTAGGAAAGGACTTTCTGAATAGGACTCCATTTGCCTAAGAACTTAGACAAACAATTAACAAGTAGGGCTCCAGAAATCTCAAAAGCTTCTGCACAGCTAAAGAAATAATGACCTGGAAGAAGATGAAGCCCACAGAATGAGAGAGAATCTTTGCCAGCGAAACCTCTAACAAAAGATTAATATCCAGAATATGTAAAAAAGAAAAAACCCTAAATAGTCACAAACAAATGTCACATTCAAATATGTACATAAGATCTGAATAGAAATTTCTCAAAAGAAGAAAACATGGCTAAGAAACACCTAGCAATTAGAAAAATGCTAATAAAAAAACTTTAAGGTTTCATCTTATCCCAGTTAGAATGCAGAAGATAACAGAAACCTGGAATACTGAAACTGCTAGTAAAAAATAAATACAATTGGTGCAGGATCATCAAACTGTCTGTGGTACTTCCTCAGCATTCAGAGGTTTGCTCATCAAGAGTGGTGCAGAGTTTCTAGATGTAGAAATGGCTTAGAAATGGCTCAACAAGGGTGTTGTTACCACATTGTCTCTAATTTGATTATATGCTACATATTGGTAAGATTTCAAAGTTCTCAAAAGTTGCTTTTCTCTACAATATTGTATAAAATTGAGGACAGTATCAAATAAGAAATTTAATTATAGGAGGCTTTCTTCTTCAGACAATAACACTACAGGCGTGCCCTGTTACATACATGGACAGATCTTCTAACTCTTCTTTAGTCTCTGGGTCAGTGTTTCTCAAGCCCTAGTCCAACAAGGACTTTAAGAGGCCAGTTCTGCTAAGGAGACTGTAAAAACAGGAATGGAATGGGACAAAGGATAGGAAGTGAGCCCATCATAGCCCCTATGACAACTAGAGTGACTTCACATTGGTCTGTTTTGTAATTCTGGCTTTCCTGGGAGGCTTTCTTTAAGACAAAGTGTTACAGTATTGTAGCTAAGAAAAACTAAATATTTGAAAGCAATTACTGTAGAAAACATTGCCCATACATCGTGTAAGTGATAAAGACACCATAACTACAGGAAATTAGCAGTTTTGTTATAAGAACTTCCCACAGTCCTGATTTTAACAACATATTCACCCATTGTATTTATCCCAAGTAGTTTTGGGGTGTGTGTGTGTGTGTGTGTGTGTGTGTGTGTGTGTGTGTGTGTACACCTGTATGTACATGTACAGGCGAGAGGAAAATATCAGGTGGTCTTACTCAATTACTATCAACCTTATTCTTTGAGACAGAATTTCTCACTTGAACCTAAAGCCAGGCTGGAAGCCAGTAAGTTCCCAATGATTCTCTTGTATTGACAATCCTCACCTCTCCCCATAACACACACACACACACACACACACACACACACACACACACACACACACACACACACAGAGAGAGAGAGAGAGAGAGAGAGAGAGAGAGAGAGAGAGAGAGAGAGAGAGAGAGAGACTAGAAGCACAATTAAAAATAGCCATGCATAGCTTTTTACATGAGTGCTGAGGGTTTGAATTTAGAACATCATGCTTTTAGCAACTAAGCCACCCCATCCATTTACACAGTTGTTGAGATTCCTCATGTAGAGGGCCAAGGCAAAGGAGGCTGCAGCTAGCTTTGAAGGCTTCTCTTGGACATATTCATATTCCTGCAGGGTCATCTCACAGATGAAGCGGGACAAGGTTAGTGTCTTCATGCTAGCACGGACACACTAAAGGAAATAAGAAGACTGGTTAACAATCCATTTAGAAAAAACAATATAGGGCAGGAGAATTCCTTTCAAGTTATCCCATCCCTAGTCCACATGGTTCTATGCTTAAACAAAGTACTTCTTCTGCTACCATGACCCTATTTACAGACTCCTGCCTGTAAGGCCTTCAAAGCATGTAAGTGGCCAGGCCCCTCCCTTGAGGACTTCCAATTGCAAGGTTCTACCCACAGCACACTCTTAACTGCCCTAATGGCCAGCCACAGCCCACACTACAGAGTAAAAAGCCCAAGCTCTGGATTTGAAAACCTACCAATACCCATCCTGGAAAGCCCTCTGCCCAGAAACACTATATCAACCCTGTCTTCTGCTCAGTTCTCTGCTGCTTCACACCTAATTAGAGGTAGCCACCCTATTGGATTTCCCCTCCTAATAAATCGCCTGTGTGAGGTGTGTTGTGTGGTCTGACTTGGCAGTATTCCTTGGCTCCCAACTGCCATGATTTCTTTCCCTTCAGAGCTGTAACTTTGAAGAAACCCTTCCCCACTGGAGCAGAGCTGTCACATTGCCTACAAAAGTGAATTCACTCAGGAGAATATTATGATACTGGCATAGAGATTAATCATCTTTAGGGCCCCTAAATTATCAAGTGACTCTCTTTGCTATAGTCATCATCCTTTGAAGGATCAAAGTCTCCCAACTGTGATTTTGTACATAGTCCTACTCTAGGAGATGTTTCATGATCCAAAACATTCCCTTCCTTCCTATATTCAAATATTTTAAACTTACAACACACACATAAATATATATATATGTATATACACACACACACACACACACACACACACACACACACACACACACACACATATATATATATATATATATATATATATATATATATATAACAACTGTAGGATCCAATGAATAATTAAAAGGTGGTCTTCCCCATAACCAATATTCAACCAAGAAAAAGAATATTGTCAACATTTCCCCAAAGCATATGCAACTTCTCCTGTTCAAAGAATATTTTTACCTCATCCCCTAGTTTACCCTTATCACAAAATCTTATAGGTACATCACAGAAATTTATAACTTGCCTCACCCCAAGTATGTGATAAACAACTTTTCACCAATAACTGACAGCCACTCTGAATATAGAAAAGATTAATCCAAAAGTCAAAATAACTAAGCTATATATCTCCTCCCAGTTACCGAAGCATATCTACGTAGAAAATGATATGCAGTGGGAATATTGATGTCAAAGTTGAGGGTTTTCAGGATGTTCATTTCCAAGGCAACCATATCATGTTGCTGATAAAGATCTTCACAAATGTAAAGGAACTCTGGCAGAGAAGGTGGATAGGATTCCTGTGGATTGAAAGGAGACACAGTCACCCATGTACATCCTTTTCCTCTGTAATTATGATGAAAGGAAGAAGGGGAGAGAAGTGAAGGAAGATAAGTAGGAGTCAACCACATTTCCAGATACAGACTTTCAGGACAGATCTCAGAGTCAGTTTTAGTTAATTTGAATCTCTCAACAGAAAAAAAAATAGAAAAATAAGAATAGTTGCCTCAGGCAGAGCATGGGTCTAAAGGCTATGGTTTCTTATAATGCTAAAAGCAGTCTAACATGACACAGTATCTGAAAGCAGGGACGTGCCCTCTTGATGGGTGAGAATCAGAAATCAGAATAGAGGTATCTAAAACCTGCTATAGGAAAGGAACAGAAGGAAGCCAAAAAAAGATCTAGATATAGAAAATAAACCTGGTAGGATGGAGAAGAGCTAGGAGTTTGGGTGTGCTGTTCTGGGAGTGCCTTCCCATGCTCTGTACTCTGGAGGTTGAACATTGGTTGGGGGAAATTATGAGTATATAGAAAGACCCTTCGTGCTTTTCTATGGCCTAGAGCTCACTGTCCACCCCAGCTGTACTTTCCTCTTTACCTCCTTACTGTTCTTCCCTCTTTTTTGTCTCCCTCTCCTTCTATTCCTCCTCCCCATAGGCTTCATCAGTTCACATATCCCCATATCACTAGTTCCTTTCTTCCACAATCATCCCATTAGCCCCACCTCCCTTGAAAACTCTTTCAGGTCACCTGTATCATGATATTTCCCACTCTATATCCCTCCTTTCTTGGTCCCTTTTTACTTTCCTGCTTTTTGCAGTTACTCCAGCATATACTCACAGTTAAAGATTTGGAGCTAAAACTTGCAAATTAGAGAACATGTGGCATTCATCTTTCTAGGTCTGGGTTACCTCACTCAATATACTGTTTTCTAGTCCCTTACATTTACCTGCAAATTTCGTGATTTTATTTTCCTTTACAGCTGAATAGTATTCCATTGTGTATACATACCATATTTTCATTATCCATTCATCTATCGAAAGGCAGATTGTTTCCATCTCCAAACTATTGTGAACAGAGACATGATATACATTGCTGAACACATTACTGATGAAGTAGGAATGTCAAGTACTTTGGATATATGCCAAGGAGAGGTAGGTGGATCATATGGTTCATTTGTTTTTACCTTTTTGAGGATTTTCCAAGCTCAATTCTAGAACGGCTCTAACAGTTTGCATTCTCATTAATAGTGAAAGGAGGTTTCCCTTTCTCCACATCCCCACTAGCAATTATCATCAGTTGTTTATCTAGCAAACCTCTCTGAACCAGGCATGAGAAACCTCTTTTTAAGCTATTGGTCAGGGTAGTCCAGGAGATTCCCAAGACAACATAAGCTACCGCTGTTACCATCAGCTGCCTCCTAGAGGTTGAAAGAAAGTCCCTGCTGCTAAAGGCACCACACATTTTGATCATAAACAACTCTGAAGGAAGAATTTGAGCTGTATTTGACTTTGAAGCTTCTTCCCACAGGTCTAGATTTCATAGTACCAGGGTACTATACAAGCTGCCAAAAGAGGGAAGCAATCAATAGTCCTACCCAACTATGAAATCTGTGAATCACAACAATGACCAGCATGACAAGATAGCTCTAAAAGTGCAATAGTGACACTCTTATGTTGGTGGTAACCACCAGCTATCTAATTAGACTTAAGGCCACCTCAACAGGAAGAAAAGGATATCTCATACTGGAAACCAAGCCAACTTCCCAGAACTAGTGAGGTTATCAATCATAGAGAAGAATGCACAACTGCATATGTCACTAGACCAGCATAATTCCTAACTGCATTCTAAAACGTATTCTTACAAGCACAATAAGTGTAACCATCACCTTTCCTCTAAGAAGGTCCTCTTTGTAGCAGGTGGAGAGCATTAACGAAAACCATAAATGGTCAAGATGCAGAAATCAAATGATGACAGGGTACCCACCCCCAGTTGATAAACGTATAATGCAAGTCCTACAAAATAAGTCCTGCAATATTTGAGAAATATTGTGGGAGGAGGGATGGGAAAGTTGTAAGAGACAGAGGACCAAGAAACCTGCTGTGAGATGTGCCTCCTACAAATGACAGGAAAGCTATATCCATGAAATCTCAACAATGTGACTGGCTCAACAGAAGGTGAACAATAAATGACAACACTAACAGACATGCTAATGTGGAGGCAAAAAATCTCCCAAGCCCCACTCTTACAATAAGAACAGCAGGCAATTAATAACTGCTGAGAGAGGGAGAATTAGTCTTACCCAGTGATGGATGAGTCCCCTAATTGGTTAGCCTATACCAATTGGTCAACCCTCAAATCATGTACATACAAGCAATAGTAAATGGACTCACAGGCTCTGTTTTTATAATTATGTGTGTATATAAATAAACAATAATTATCAAAGAGGCCATGAATTTGAAAAGGAATAAGAAGGTTTGGGGATGGAGGAAGGAAAGGAAGTAAATAAATAATGTACTTATATGTGAATTAAACTTCTATGATTTAAAAAACAACTCTTTCAGGGGCTAGAAAAATGGCCCAGCAGTTAAGAATGCCTACTGATATTACAGAAGACCCAAGTTTGTTTCCTAGTAGCCACATCAACAGGTTCCCAGCTCTGAAGACATATGATATCATTGATTCCATGGACACCTGCACTCACATATGCATACTCCCACAGAGACATATACACATTATTAGGAAATGAAAATAAATCCTTTAAAGAGGTCTTCCAGTATTTCCATATCCCATAAGGGGAAGACAGCTTCTTCCACAGGCCTTAGTAGATTCCTTCTGTTCTGACCTCAGGACAAGGAGTATTTTGGGTTTCAAAGCTCACTGAAAGTACCTGACCTGATTCCTTTCTTCACCTTTCTTCCTGCTGTACCTAGGCCCAGCCTTTGAAAGTAAAGTAATGAATGGCATCTCTAATGGTAAGTACAAAGGGACACTTAAGTAGAAAAGTATGAGACTGAGAGATAGAGAGGGACCGAGAAGGCAAAAAAAAAAAAAAAAAAAGAAGAAGCAAGGAAAAGGGAGGAGCAGGCACAAAAAATTAAACGGGGGTGGGAGCCATCAGATATACCAGAAGCAAAATTAGTTCCAAAGTTATTTAAACCTGTTAATGGAAACTGCCACCTCCTAAATAAGGGAAAGAATCAGAGAGGTTAACTAGATGGATTATAATCATGAAGAAAAGGCCAGCTGTCTTTATACTGTTACTTTAAAAATAACTATGTCACCCAAAACATTTTAGACTCATTATAATCTACACCAAACCATTTTCTTTTGACTATCTCCAACAATCTACTTTGTTTTATTATAGATGCAGATAGAATCCCCTAGACAATGATATAGCTGGTGAATGAGAAAAGCTTGGGGAGAGGGGCAGAAAATCATAAATGAGCAGGAGGTTTTTTTTTAAGAGTACTACCTGTCAAATTAGTCACCTGTTTGTGCCTATAAAGTATTTTTAAAGGCCAAACAAGTGAACTTTGCTGCTCCCCAGGACAAATATACCACCAGTGCCAACCAAGAACTTTAAAGAGTGAGGAAACAGACAAAAATTTGGAAGGGATGTAGGGGTGTGTGTGTGTGTGTGTGTGTGTGTGTGTGTGTGTGTGTATGTATGTATATATGTATATCTATATACATATATACATACATATGTGCATGTGTACTTAATTTACATATACATAGATAAATTTATAGAGATGCATGTACACAGTTCTACTTATATGTGTATGTTCATATACATATTCATTCTATATTTAAGATGGATATTCTATAAGTGCCCTCATATCTTAAGGATTCAGACTCACCTCAAATTTGGCTGCAATCATGTAGGCAGTGGAACCAAGGAGTTGTAAGTGATCCTTCTTGCATTGTGCCTTCATTAGGTAGTGATCCACTAGCTTCACTGTCAAATACAGGGTCTCATGACTCATCTGAAAGGATGTCTGAAGGAACAAAGAAGACAGGAATCTGCAAATTTTCCAAATTAACAACCATCTCCAAACAAATCTAGAAACCTTGACTGTCTGAAGCACCAAGAACAGCCCTAGCCAGTTTGTACTCTGCTAGGAATATGGAACTTCTTCAGAAATGTACCAACACATACCTCTGTCTAACCACTTTAAGCCGCCTGCAATTATCTGTAATTATCCTTCAGACAAATAATCAACTTCACAAGCTAGACAGTGTCTATAAGTGCCTTGAGTCCATATACCCTCTCTCTCTCCTGGATCTCTAAAGCTCAGACTCCTGCTTTCCTCATTTATTAGTAACTTGAAATATCCACAGAGATAGTGTTTCTTTAGATCCAAAATATAGAGACAGGGCTAAAAGTCAAGTTTTTTCTTTCTTTCTTATTTTACATATCAATGCCAGTTCCCTCCCCCTCCCTCCCATGCCCCCTGACCACCCTCCCATCCCACCTACCCCCAACTCCACAGGGAAGGTGATGCCTTCCAGGAGGGATCAACAAAGTCTGTCAAGTCATTTCAAGTAGGTACTAGGCCCTCTCTCCTGCCTCTAGGTTAAGGGAGTATCCCTGCATGGGGAATGTGCTCCCAATGTCCTTTCATGCACCAGGGATACATCCTGGTTCACCTGTCAGGTCCCTTAGACTGCCCAGGCCTTCTGAGACCCATGTTCAGGGGTCTGAGTCAGTCCAATGCTGGTTTCCCAGCTATCAGTCTGGTGGTCCGTTAGCTCCCCCTTGTTCAGGTCAGCTGTCTCTATGTGTTTCTGAAGCCTGGTCTTGCCCCCATTTTTCTTGTCACTTCTCCCTCTCTGCATCTGGATTCCAGTTTGGCTCTGTGTTTAGCTGAGAGACTGATAACTAACTTATGTACCATCATAGACCCCCTCATCTAGGAGTTGATGGAAACAGAAAATGTCAAGTTTCAAATAGTTCCATCTTCTTTTCTAGAAGTTCTAGTAAAAATTGATACTGCCTTAACCTAGAGACAGGAGAGAAGTCCTAGTCCCTACTTCAAATGACTTGACAGATTTACATGACCCCACCTGGATGGCATTGCCCTACATGTGGAATTGGGATGGGGGGATGGGAGGGGAGGGTGGTCAGGGTGCATGTGAGGGGAGAGAGAGGGTAAGAGGGGGAAAGGGAAGTAGAGAGGGAGTGAGGGGGAGGGAGAGGGAACTGGGATTAACATGTAAAATAAAAAGTAATAATAATAAAAAAATATCTTTTTTTCTAGTTTGTGGAGTCAACTCACAATTTTCATCTGTTGCCCCTTTTATCTCACTAACCTATGAGTAACTAGACAAATCTTTCTCATAGTGTATCATCCAATCTCCCTAATCCACATTTAAGGACATCTGAAAATAGATTAGGTTCACTCTAATAATCTGAGGTCATTGGCCTATCTTAAACTCAGCTGATTAGCAACTTCAACATTTTCACAGTTACTGGGGATTCTGTCATGGGCATCTTGTTTTGCTCTCCACAATATCCAAATAAATGTTTTAAGATAGAAATGGGGAGAGATCATATAGGTGAAAAGTAATGGCCACAATCTTAAGTAGCAAATTGAAATCAGATAATCCCAAACAAACAAATATATAAATAAATAATGGCAGGAATCATATGCAGTATCTAAGGATAATGTCTCTGTGATAAAACGGTACAGCCAATACATTATTTCCTTCTAGTACACACCTACCCCTGCATGCTGTTATTAAATAGTATCATATAAATACATGGGTAATATATGAATGGTAATCCTGTGCACTTTCGTGTATATGTGTGAGTGCACATGTAGGTAATGCATGCATGTGCACATGTAGAGGCCAGAGGTCAACTTTAGGTATTGCCCTCAGGTACCATCTGCATTAGTTTTTGAGACAGTCTCTGAGTGGGACTTGAAGCTCACTGATTCTACTATGCCAGGTGACCAGTGAACGCCAGTGATTTGTCTTTTTTCACCCTTCTAGGGCTGGGATTACAGACACATACTATCATGCTCAGCCATATATATATGGCTGGGGCTCCACTCAGGTCCTCATGCTTGGCTGGAAAAGAGGCTTCTATCCTAGTAAATGGGGTGAAAGAGAAGATGAAGCCAAGTTATTTCCTGCTACATTCTTGCTGGCTGCAACTTACAGACCTGTGAAACCCAGTGTCAAGCCATTTATAGACAATCTACTTCTGAGAGAGTTTAATAGGTAGCAGAGCTGATAGAGCTGATTGATTTCTTCAGCCTATTGAAAGTCAGCTCTTAATGCAAGGGTTCTTAAAACAAGAAAGCAAAAAAAAAAAAAGTAGAGAGAATATAGAATGGTATATAGGACAAACAATAAAAATCCTTAATGCCAAAGACTAAATAAACATTTAGATTAAAGGGTCTCAAATTATTACAACATAATTATAGAAATCAGAGCCACACTTATCACAGTTAAATAAGGATCAGGATAAACAAATAGCCCGAATAGATGTTTATTCAGGGAGAAATAACTTACAACCTAGACAGATGAACACCAGGAAATTCCACCCGATGCTCTCCTGTCTGAGTCCCGCCAAGAAGAGAGCTTTTCTGGGCTCTTCCTCAGACCTCCTTCCACAGGTCACATCTGCCCATGGCTCCACCCCCCAATGGGCATGGTCAGTGCCACAGAATGACTATCTCACTACACACACTTAAAGATTTTTTAAATCAAAAGTAATATACTAGACAAGACTAACATAGACCTAAAAGTTTAGTTTTTTTTTTTTTAACTAAAAACAGAGAAAGAAATGGAAACATGCAAACTATTTAAAGTTATCTTAGGGGAGGTTACTAGACCAGTTCTATCAAAAGGGTGAGTTAACTAAATGAAGATTCTTATACAGATAAGAGAATCACAGACCCATTAAAAAGAACACAATAGATCCATACTTAGATGAAAAGATTGGAGTGTGTGTGTGTGTGTGTGTGTGTGTGTGTGTGTGTGTGTGTGATTGTTTTAACATGGGGTTTCATGGAGCCCACACTGACTGCAAACTTTCTGTGAAGCTGAGGGTGGCATTGATCTCTTGATCTCCTGCCTCTACCTCCCAAGAATAGAGACTGCAGGCTTGTACCACAACATTCATCTTAGAATTTGCTTTTTTAAAAGTATTTTTATAATTTATTTATTCTTTTAAATTTTAATTTACATTCCAACTACAGTTCTTCTTCCCACCCCTCTCACTGAGGGAAATGTAAGGGAAGTGAGGAGGGGATGGGAGGGATTTACTTGTTTTTAAGAAATGCAGGTATATCTGTTAGTAGATGAAGGCTCGCGTTTGTCTTTTTTGTGACTGGGTTACCTCACTCATGATGGTTTCTTCTAGTTCCATCCATTTGCCTGTGAATTTCAAGATTTGATTGTTTTGTTTGTTTGTTTGTTTGTTTGTTTGTTTTTCTGCTGAGTAGTACTCCATTGTGTAAATGTACCACAAGCCTTCCTTTAGTAGCTGATGGAAGCAGAAGCAGACACCCACAGCTAAACACTGAGTCGAACTCCTGGAATCCACTTGCAGACACGGAGGAGTGATGAGCAAAAGACTGGGCTGACCTGAACAAGGGGAAGCTCATGGACCCCAGACCAATACCCCTGAATGTGGGTGTTATTTAGAAGGACTGGGCTGTCTATGGGACCTCTGGTAGTAGATCAGTATTTGTCCCTAGTTTATAAATGGACTTTGAGAGCCCATTCCACATAGAGGGATACCTTCTCAGCCTAGACACATGGGGGAGGGCCTAGGCCCTGCTCTAAATGATATGACACACTTTGAAGACTCCCCATGGAAGTTTGCTCCCTGGGGAGCATAAAGGGGATGGGATGGGGGTTGGTGGGAAAGTATAGGAGGTTTCGGGAACTGAGATTGACATGTAAAACAAGCTTCTTTCAAATTTAAATTAAAAATAAAACACACACACACACACACATCTATATAAACAAAACCTATAAAAACAAAATCAGGACCAAGATAACTATGGGGCAGACTTAGTAGACTTCCTAGGGGAGACCTTACCCTCTTGGAGGAGCAAATGGGAGATGGGATGGGAAGAAGTGGAGGTAGTGGGAAGAGGGAACTGGGATTGGAATGTAAAAACTAAATTAATAAAAATGGTTTTTAAAAAAGAAATGCAGGTGTATATATAATAGCATAGGCCTGTGATCTCAGTGCTCAGAAAGCTGAGGCAGAAGGATTTAAAGTTTAAGGTTGAATGTGTATTATTGACATAAACAAGAGACAGCAGAACTTTAACAACAAAATGTACAGAAAATGATCTGAAAGGATACACTTCAAATAATGTATAGCTTTTGCCCCTAGAGAATAAAGAGTATTGAAGTGAAAGTAATTTGCCTTAATCCAGCCTCTGTACTTGAACAAGTTTGGCTAAAGCCAACTATCTGCATAGTGAACTACAACCTGTAAAAGTTGTAACCCCACCTTATAACCAAACAACTGAGTATCAGTCAATTAGAGAAGCTGAATTTACAGTCAATCAGAAGCTAAAATCTACCAAATCATCAATATATAAGCCAAATGCCAGTAACAGTCATCAGGATTTATAATTGTGTTTACTTGTCTTCCTGTCTTATTTTGCCATTTAAACAATACATGCCTAAAAATTATAGTTTCTTCAGCTCTATAGATCCAGTATGTTTTTCGTATGTTTAATTTAACTGAAAAGGGAAACAACAGCTTCTTAAGGTAGCACTTGCTATGCTTACCTGTACTTCCACCAACCAGTCCACAAGAATGGCTCTCATATCACTGGTGAGTTCCATCTGTCTGTCCATGTATTTCATAACTATGAACTTTTCCTGGCAGTATTGAAAAAGAAATGTTAATAAACTATTCTTGTACTTCAAAATTTTCACAATTAACTTCTTTTTCATGGTTCTAACACACTACTTTCAACTGGTATCAGATGTAAGCATATCAGAATATCTTTTTCTCAGCAAGTTCAAGCTATCTTTGGGAAATGCACATATAAAATATTTAAGTATCATATGAGATATTGGGGAACCTACCCATGGCTGTCAATGAATACTAAAAGAGTCATAATACTTCTTTGCAATCCAGTCTAAAACACTATACCATGCTGTGTAGACCAATGCTTATTCAACTTTGGCATACATATGTAGTACTCAAATGTCATTTAAAATTCCATATTTTCATTTAGAAATCTATGCTTAGCTTCTCCATTTATGACAAGACTTTCAGTGAGACCCATCAGAGCCAGTCTACCCACCTGTCTGACCCCTCAGCCACACCACTGGCCATTTTGTGAACCATATGGTACCCTGTGAGTTCAAACTCAGGTATGGACCCCAGAGCTAGTCTGCGATCTACCCCACCCACTATGCTACCCAGAGATGTCACGGCTCCTATGAGTACAACCCCTGGTACAGATCTTCAGCCCAATCTACATCCCTTGGTATGCAGGTAAGGATATATCTAGAAGGAGCTGGAAGGAATGTGAATATGGTCAAAATACATTAATTGAAATTCTCAAAGAATTAATGAAATAGCTTATATTTTTCCAAAAACAAAAAAAGATTTCAGAGAATGAGGAAAGAGGGCACGGAGCTGGATGGACAGAGGTAGGAGGATCTGGGAGTAGATGAGGGAGGGAAAACCACGATCAGAATGTGCTGTATGAAGTGTGGTTCCTGGTAAAGTAGTACATGATGCCAATAACATATGGCAGCCAGGAAGTACAGAGATCAAAGGGTCTATGGTATCCAAATACCCTCTACAAGCATTCTTCTGATAATTGAATCTCCTCTTATAAGACCCACCTCCTAAAGGTTATGTTATCTCCTGGTATTGCCTCAAACTAGGGACTGAGACTTTGTGGAACATTCTAGTTCAAAATGATAGCATGAGAAACCCTGGGAGATATGAAATGTGTTATCATATGGACATCCAGGATACCTTGTCTATGATTGACATATGGAGTTGGTATAGTATTGTATAACTGAGCCATTTATCTGAGGAATCTGATGTGAACTTTGGATGCTCAGTGTGAGAATCTAATCAAACTGCTGAAGTGAATTAGAGAAATGGGCAGGCGGTTGCTACCTCACAAAATGTTGTACTAGCTTTGATGAAAAAAAAATAAACTTTAATCCCTAAAAAATAAAATAAAAAGTACAACTTACTTTACCTTAAGAAAGAATATACTGTATGAAAAAAATTCATTTTCAAAAAAAAAAAAATAAAAACCAGGAAACAGAAAAAATTCAGATTTCATCTGATACTGCTAAGCCAAGACTCAAGCAAACATACAGAGATGTCTCTTGGTTTCTCTAAGTTACAGATGGTACTGAATTATTTCAACTTAATTTTTGTACATTATGATAGATATAATACAAGACACATTCAGTAGAAACGTAGCTACTGGTTTTTAAATTTGATCTTTTTTTCAGAGCTAAAAATAAGTGGCATAATTCTCTCAATGAATTCTCTCATCAATCTACATTTTACAGTGAATACTCTGGCTGAGGCTAGATATTTATTTAGCTTATTTAGTTTATTTAGATTTTATCCTCTTCATATGTCAAGAAGTATCTGTGCGTTAGAAAGGTGTGGACTATAAAATCAGGTAATCAATTCTCTCTAGAGAGAGTGTGAGATATTCATTCACCATCATATATAGAGTCTGCTAAAACTTCCACTTGGTAGATAATCTTGCTCTTATCTGTTTCATTGAAAAAGAGAAGAAAATTTGGAACTAATATTTAAAGCAGACTTTTTATTTTCAAAGGCAAAGAATACTGCACCAAGTTGGAAAGTTGAAATAACAGGTGTGAGTATTACATACAATGTCAGAAACATAGGAAAACAAGGAAAAAGATCTCTAATAAAAGTTACTCAGAGACAAGCTACTTATGATTTTTATGTCTTAGGTGCAACTTAGAAGTTGCAAGGTCATGGTCTTCACGATAATCAGACTTTTGTTAGTATTTCAATTCTACCATGTAATATAGATGACTCTGGGTAGTTTACCTGTAATTTAAAATGGAGATAATAATCTCCACCATCAAGAAACTTTTGGAAGAATTAAGATAATGTCTACAAATCCTTCAACATGGTGGTCAACTCACAGTAAGCTACCAATAAGTAGTCATCACAGATACTATTGTTTTCTACATCATTATCAGTCCCCCCTTCAATTTAGTAGCTGAAGGAGAGAATGGGAAGGAAATGAGAACTAGAAATCCCTGTCTACCTTCAGTAACCTACATACCCACCTCTCTCTTCCTCAAGTAAATGAAGATTTCCTTGACATATACAGAGTTGAGTGCTGGATTGCGGTCTTCCTTTTCGATACTTTCCACTGTGTCACTGTCATCTAGTATGATTATCTGTTTAGAACAAAAGACAAAAATTTTGAATGCATGTTCCATGATTTTTGGCAGGAGACTAGTTTAGAAAGGGATGGAGGGAACTTTCTAGGGGTAGTAGAAATGTTTTATGTATGTTAATATATTTGCTTGTATTGATGATTTGTGCACCTTTACTGCATATAAATTTTGACTTAAGCATCTTATCTTCATTCCTGAGTACAAGATGTGCTGGGGTAAAGCTGGCATAAAGATTGTGGGAGTGGCCAACCAATGACTGGTCCAGCCTGAGACCCATGCCATGAGAGGGAGCCAACACCTGACTTTGTCTGGAATTCCAGTACCCAGATGCTGGGTGGCCCAGAAACCTAGGATAGAACCAAACATACCTGGGGGAAATGTCAATGAAATAATTCCTAATGATATTCTATTATACTCATAGATTGGTGCCTAGCCCAACAGTCACCAGAGAGGCTTCATTCATCAACTGATGGAAACAGATGCAGAGACCCAAGCCAAACATTAGGCAGAACTTGGGGAATCCTGCAGAAGAGGGGAAGGGAGGCTTGTGGGAGCCTGAGTGGTCAAGGACACTACAAGAAAACCCATATAATAAACTAACCTGGGTTAATAGGAGCTCACAGAGTCTAAACCAACAACCAGGGAGCCTGCATTGGTCTGACCTAGGCCCTCTACATATATGTAAGAGTTGTGTAGCTTGAAAGAGGAGATTATGTATTACCATTCATTAAATAAAATCAAAAGGTAACCAAAGAAATATAATCTCTCACTGAATGGAGGCTCTTTCCACAACATAGTACACACTGCTTAGTTACTTGCTTAAGCAGCACATAAGAACATGTTTGAGATATTGGGATTATGGCTCAGTGGCTGACAGCACCCACTACTCTTGCAAAGAACCCGAGTTTAGTTCCCAACAACCATTCTGGGCAGTTCACAACTGACTATAAACTCCAGCTCTGGGGGTTTGCAATGCCTCTGGCTTATACAGGCACCTGAAATCACATGCATAGACATACCTACAGACAGACAGACAGACAGACACGCACACATGCACATGCACTTGTGCACATCCTTCATTAAAATACTTCTTAAATAATCTCTTTTGGGGTTAATGTTGCAAACTTAGGCCGAGCATATGCTCTGCCCTGGCTTCAATATTCAAAACCATATTTAAAAGAACTATTTTGGTAAACAATAGTTTGTCTTAAATTAGATAAAACAACTTACCTAAATTAGACAAAATGCCTTACCTAATTTAAGAAAAAAATAAATAAATACCTCAGTCTGCTTTTCACCCACAGATGACTGCAGGTCTTTGGAAGAAGATTCATATGGACTGGAATTCATGACAGGATCAAACTTCTCCTCAATGGGCACAAGAGCATTGGAATCACCTGCTCTGGATTCTAAATCATTGGTGGGCATCTGAGGGTTAGTCTCATGTGGAAAGACAAGGAATGATTTGAAAAATTCCTCTTCATCAATAATACTAGTGTCTTCAAAAGCTAGTAGATCTGTAAAGGACAATTGGTCTGCAGCAGTGAGTCCTTCATTCAATGCCAGTATATCCATGGACTCCTCCTCAACATTTAATGTCTTTCTGGCTACATCATCATCATACCCAATGTCAGGATTCTGATCAAAAGTCAAAACCTCCTTGGGACTTGCCTTCTCGATGTTGGGATTCTCTTTCAAGGCCATTGGATCCTTCAAGGTAGCCTCTGTTTTAGTGCTCAGGTTCTCCTGCAAGGCCAAAGGATCCTCCAACACAGATTCTCCCTCGATTCTAGGTTTCTCCACCAATTCCAATACTTCCTTCAAGAGAACCTCTACATTACTTGGTGGTTTCTCCTGAAAGGTCAAGGCTACCTTCTCCACACTGGGCTTCTTCACTATGACCAGTAGCTCCTTCAGGACAGTCACCAGCTCAGCTTGGGGCCTCTCCTCCTGTGAAGCTAAGGGCTCTTCCACAATTGCCGCCTCCTTGATGCTTGCTGTCTCCTGCAAGGTCCAGCATTGCTTGGAGTGAGTTTGTGTGTCAGTGGTGTACTTTGTAAGAACAGCCTCCTCAGAAGAATTATCTTGTGTGATCGATGGCTGCATAAGGACAGCCATTTTCTCCATACTGAGTTCCTCCTGAATGTTTAAAGGTTCCACAGAGGCCTCCTCCTTAGTGCTGGGATAGCTTTGAAAGTTCAGTGAGTGATAACTAAAGGACTCATCAACATCACAACTGCTGCTCTCTTCCAATACCTTCTTTAAGACAAATTCCTGCTCTAGAGCAATGATCTTCTCTTGGCTCGATTCCTCAGAGGAGGGATATCTGTCCTTACAAAAGAGCTTTCTAAAAAAGGCCTCTTCTTCAGAAACACTGTCCTGCGAGTCAAACAGTTGTCTGTGGGAGTCCTTTTTTCTATCAGTCTTCTCTTGCAAGTCTAAAGACATCTGGAATTTAAAGGTATCTTCATCAGCAGAACTATAAGGAGAAAATAGCTCTGGAGAGAAGAACATCTTGTCATCATATAAAGTCGCTGATTCCTTACTATATGATTCCTTACTATATGCTCCTTCTTGACTGGTGGTCGTCTGTGAGGCCAATGGCATTGAGAGGGATCGTTTCTGTGGAATGGAGTACTTTTCATTCAGTGAAGATGGATTCTCTTGGAAACCAGTTATAGTTTCATTTCTAAGTGATCCAGGCTTTGTAGAGAACAAGTTCCTATTTTCATTAGTTCTTTCCAGCCACTCTGCCTGAGCTGGCCAGAGGGGGAGTATATGAGTAGCACACTTTTTTTTCGGTATAGCTGTATTTTCTGTCTTAAAGGGCAGTGGCTCCTTAGCCAGTGACTCTGCTGCTGAAGTGTCTGTCTGTAATACTGGTGGATTTTTTAAATGGAACATTGTCCCTTGAGAAAAAGTCTGCGGCATCTCTACAGTTAAGGGCTTGTGGGTAAAGGCTGGCTCCTCCATAATGCGCCGTTTCTTAAAAGCTGAAGCTAACCGACAACGTGACTCCTCCTCCAAGTGACGCTTTCGAGGGGCACAGAGCTTCTTCGACTTGGACAATACCCCAGGACTAGTGCGCCTCTTTCGTAATAAAGATGGCACCTGGAAAGGGGGCTCTTTCTCAGTTGTAGACTTCTTGAAGGATAATGGCTCATTAGTAACTGGCTCTTGCACTGCAGGGTTATTGAAGAAATATTTACTTTTAGGGAGGTGCTGCTTCCTCTTTAGAGGTGAGTGCTTCTTTATGCGAGGGGCCTCTTCCATGCTATACCGCTTCTTCAAAACTGGAGCTACATTAAAATGCAATACCACTTCCTCAGTGGTAGGCTTTTGCAGAGCCAAGGACTTCTCCACAGTGGCCATCCCCACGTGAGCAACGTTCTTGTCTGACAATACAGATGGCTTTTGGAAATGGGAATGTTTCTTGGTGGTAGACTTCTTAAAGGACAATGGCTCATGTTCATGGGTGACTGGCTGAACTCCTAGTGACCTAAAATTAATGCTGCTTCCCTGAGTGTCACGACTATTTTTAGAAGATGATAGCTTTTTTGTGTGAGTTGTTTCATTGGTACTATGTTTCCCTTTAAAAGCAACTGGCTCTGTTACAATGCCATCTTTATTATATGTAGTCACTTGTAACACCCTTGGCTTCTTCAAGATGCTTGCCTCCCCTTGAATATTATATTTCTCAGTGGCAGGATGCTTATTCTTGAAGGATGGCTTTCTAATCACTGACTTCTCTCTAGTAGTCACCACCTTTAATGCTAATGATTTCTTCTTGAATGAATTCTTCCCCTGAATTGTATACTTCTCTTCTTGAACAGCAGGTTTATTCTTTAAAGATAATGGACTTGAGGTGAAAGCATTCGAGGTGAAAGCTGCCTTCCTGGTGGCAGGTTTCTTTGAATCAATCATCTGTAAATGAAAATAATTAGTAGAATTTTAGACTTTCCCAAACAACTTTTGGTGAAGCTGCATCTATGAAAGAAAAAAATCTGATTCTCTAAGCATACTACCTCCTCAATGGCATCTGCTTCTTCAGGATTATCCATCATTTCTAAAGCCATTGGCTCTATATCAAGCCCATCGTAAACTTCCGTCTCCTCCATCAAGGTTAGTGACTGCTCTATTTGAAATGTCTCCTGATGATATGCACGCCTCTGTGATGTCTTCTTCATAAATCTTGTCTCTTCAGTAGCAGTTTCCTCATTTAAAACTAATGTCTTTTGAAAAACAGATGCTTTCTCAGTAGTAAGTGCTTTAGACTGTTTCTCCATGTTTGACAGTGAGGTGACAAGTCCCACCTTAGAACTGTAAATGAAACAAAGTGTAAGAACAATATCACTCCTAGTGCTCACCCACCATTTCATTCTGTTGCTACATTAACTAAAAGAAAGGGAAAGAGCTATAACACCAAGATAGAAAAACTAAAAAAAAAAAAAAAAAAAATGTAAAACATGCTGAACCAAGTTAGTGGCACACTGTATAGTTTCTATGCCTATATCCTTACACTTTTCTACTTTTCCCATGAGATCCATGTTTTACTTTCTCTCATTTGACTTACTACCATTATTTATATACTAAGTTTCTATTATAATACTTATATGAATGAGTTACCTGTATATGTATTGATCACTCTTACTAGAAACAGTTATTTATCTTTGCCTAACCACACCATGCCTCTAATAAAATGCACGTTGAAATTATTATTGTTTGAAGGATGATGAGAGATGAAGACTGGTAATTAACATTGATGGTACCTAACAACATTTTCTACACGAAGGAGTATTCTGAAGATGTTTTCTCAAAGAAGGAAATAGAGAGATCAAAATAGAAATGTGTCACATATGTCAAATCTAAATCTCTATTTTAAATAGGATTTCATGATTAATGAGAGTGATTAATATAGCATAATCAAATCATTTGAAGAATACAAGTCAAAATAAGAACTAAAGGGAAGTTAAAAAAAAAAAAACCACCATCCTACCATTCTGAACACCGGGTATAAATACCTCTGCTCTAAAGATTTCATTATATGAGTCAATTCACATGAAATATATAGGATTCTAGAGTGTAGGGCAGTGGTTCTCAGCCTGTGGGTCAATCCCTTTGGGTGTCAAAAATTCTTTCACCTGAGACCCTCTGGAAGCATAGATATTTATGATTCATAATAGTAGCAAAATTTCAGTTATGAAGTAGCAATAAAAATGATTTGATGGATGGGGATCCCCACAACATGAAGAACTGTATTAAGGGAGGGTCACAGCATTAGGAAGGCTGAGAACCACTGGTATATGGAGAGTCGAAAAAGTAAACCTCTAGATACAGTTTGCTCTGAAGATGTTGACATTTTTTAAGATTACACAGAGTTGATAGCTCTAGAATTTTTAAATCACTGTATTATAAAATATAACAATTGGGTCACAGAGATGGCTCAGAGGTTAAGAGTCCTGAGTTCAATTCCCAACAACCACTTGGTGGCTCACAAAAATCTTTAATAAGATCTAGTGCCCTCTTCAGGTCTGCAAGCATACATGTAGGCAGAACACTGTATACATAATAAATAAATAATATCTTTTAAAAAGAAAAATTAACAATTAATTAAAAGGAAACGCCTTATAAGATTCTGCTCGACAAAACAGGCTTTCCTGGTGAGGACATTTAGAAGTCATTTCCAGGTCTTCGGATAATATAGGTATAATAAAAACATGTATTGTCAGGAGCTAGCCTGCCAAGATTCAATTCCTGTGTCCTCATTTAGGACCCAGGTAATCTTGGACAAATTAATTCGGTGCATCAGGTTTCCTGCCTATAAAATGAGGATAAAATGTACACCTCTTAAATAAGTTTGTTGTGAAGAGCTGACAAAATAATATGTTTAGTGACACTTAAAGGAATGTTAAGAGTAGTTCAATGGAATTATATAACAGTTCATTAGAATTATATGATTAAAATTTGTAGAAGGTAACATACTAGCAAAATTCACTAAAGAAGAAAAAAAAATTAGTTAGACTTGTATCACATAAAGGAATTTAATTAGCAACTGAAAAATCTAACCACAAAGAAGAATTCAAGCTCAGATCAATTCACTGGTGAATTCTATCAAAAACTTATAGAGAAATTAAAACCAGTTCCTCATTGACTCTCTTAAGAAATAAGAAAAGTCAAAACAGAACCTCTAGGACAGGCTCCAAAGCTACACAGAGAAACCCTGTCTCAAAAAAACCACCACCAACAAAAGAAAGGTAGAAACCATTTCTAACTTACACTATAAGGCCAGTGGTATTATGATACCAAAAGAACAACAGTATCAAATGGCAAGAAAATTATAAACCATTACCTCTTATGGAGATAGATGTAAAAACCCCCATCAAAATACTAGAATAACAAATCCAGAAATGGATTTTTAAAGGATGATACACCATAATCAAGTAGATACCTTAGAAGTGTAAAGTTATTTTAACATCCAAATTTCAAATATTACACCATAATAACAGAACAAATCAATGTCATTTATTATCAATAGATCCATAAAAAATCATTTCACAGAATTCAACACTTTTTCACAATAAAAACCATTTAGCAACCTGTAAAAGAAGTGAGATTCTTGGGCTGGCAAGATGGTTCATCAGGCTTGTAAAGATGCTTGTTGCTCAGCATTCAATCCTTGTAATGAACGTGTAATGAACAGAAACACACACACACACACACACACACATATATATATATGTACATATATATACATATACATATATATATATACATACATACGTGAGAAAATATGAAAAAAATTAAAGGAAAGGCAAACACTAGAGTCAATAGGCTGTTTGTGTATGGTTTTGTGTGCACACGTGTGTGTGTGTGTGTGTGCTTATCTAGACAAACAAAGGAGAGTCAGACTGACCATTGGACAGGCAAAGAGATGGATAAACAATAGGCAGACTGACAATAGACAGATGGACAGACCAATGGACAGACAGACAACAGATAGACAGAAATAATGAATTCTAGTGAAGATGGTTGAGAGGATGGGATGCAAGAGGAATTTGATAGGGGAGAAGGGTTAGAAAAGATGCAGCTATGGTACACACATGCATCAAATTCTCAAACATACATTTAAAGAAGAAATGAGATTCTTGAACCTGATAAAAAGGCATCTATAAAAACTCTAAGGCTAATATTACATTTAATAGTGACAGATCAATGCCTTCCCCATGACATCAGCAAAAAATCAAGGATGACCAATTCTTGCCACTTCTACATTTTACCAACATTCTAGACAAGGCAATTAGATAATACAATTAAATAAAGGCATCCCTATTATAAAGGAATAATCAAAATTATCTATATTATCACATTAGATCTTATATAGAGAAATTCCAAGGAATCCACACAAAACAGTTATAACTAATAGACAAGTTAAGCAAGATTTCAATACACAAAATCAGGGGGGTATACTATAGATCTATAATACTAAAAATCATATAGTACTGGCACAAAAGCAGATATGTAGACCAGTGAAATAAAATAGAAAATCCAAACATTAGTAGAAGTTACTAGAGCCATCTGATATTAGATAAAGAAGCTGGAAATATATATTGAAGAAAAGACAACATCTTGAACAAATGATGCTAGGAAAACTGAATGCCCACATGCAGAAGAATAAAATTGAACAAATGATGCTAGGAAAACTGAATGCCCACATGCAGAAGAATAAAATTAGACCCATATCTATCACACTACACAAAAATTAGACCCAAGAACACCAAAGGCTTCAATTTGAAACCTAAAACTGCTAGAAGAAACATAGGCTGCACATACAAGATATACAGGTAGGAAAGGACTTTCTAAATAGAACTACATTTACTCAGGAATTAAAGCCACCAATTGACAAGTGGGACTTCATAAAACATAAGGCTTTTGCACAGATAAGGAAACAATAAATCAAGAAGAAACAAAGCTCACAGAATGGGAGAAACTCTCTGCCAGCTACCCATTTGACAAAGAATTAATATCCAGAGTACATAAAGAACACACACACACACACACACACACACACACACACACACACACACACACGAGTCAAGAAAACTGGGTGATGGATTCAAACAAAGCATTCTCAACTGAAGAAATAAAATTAGCTAAGAAATATCTCCAAATGTGTTCATCTCTAGCAATTAGGGGAATACAAATTAAACAACTTGGAGATTTCATATTACTCTAGTTAGAAAGGCTAAGGTAAATAAAAAACATTTGACCATAGATGGTGGATAAGATGTGGAGAAGCAGAACCCTCATTCATTATTTTAGGAATGCAAACTAGAGAAGCCAATTAAGAAGTCATTATGGAGAATCTTCAAAAAGCTAAAAATAAGTGCACCAATATGACCCAGCTATACTACTCCTTTGCCCAAAGAACTTACCATCCTACTGCAAGGATCTTTCTCAGTTATGTTTGTATTTCTACTATTCACAATATGTAGGAAATATAAGCAACCTAAATGTCTTTCAACAGATGAATGAATAAGGAAAATGTGGTACATATACATGATGATACACAAAATTTGCAGGTAAATGGACAAAACTGGAAAATATTATGTTGATTGAGCTAACTCACACCCATAAAGAAAAAGTCTGCATGTTTCTATCGTCTCTGCTTTATACCTCCAAATCATCAGATGTGAATGTAGAACCTGCAATAACCAAAGAAATCAGAAAAGTGAGAAAAGACCATTGGTGGTGAGGCTAGAGAAAGGACTAGCAGGATGAAGGTGTAATGAAAGGGGAAAAGGAAGAAAGGGAGGGGTCTTGAGTTTGGGAGTGGGGAAGAAGATCAACACAGAAGAAAAAGAGGGAGGAGAGACAAATATCATTCAGGATATTTACAGAGGCCTTGAGGAGTCATTTCATTTTATATTTACCTAAAATGTATATTTATCTAAAGTTATGCCACTTGGGCTGATGATGCTCCCCCTTCTCTGCAAGAACCACAGACTATCAACAACAAAAACACACAGAACGAGGCATGAGAAACCTCTTTTTAAGGTGTTGGTCAGGGTAGTTCCAGAGACTCCCAAAACAATATAGGCTACTGTTGTTATCCTTGGCTGCCTCCAAGAGGTTGATGGTAAAACCTATTGCTGAAGACACCACATATCTTGAACAGAAGACTTGAAAGATTTGAAATGGATATGATCTGAAAGCTTCATCCTCAAAGTCTAGCTTTCATAGTACTAGAAGGTGTCATGACAGCTTCCAAAAGAGGGAATCAATCAACAATCTTACCCAGTTATAATACATGTAAACCAAAACAATGACCAGCATGACAAGATAGCCCTAAAAGTGCAATAGTGACACTCTTATATTGGTGGTAACCACCAGCTATCTAATTAGACTTAAGGCCACCTCAACAGGAAGAAAATGATATCTCATACTGGAAACCAAGCCAACTTCCCAGAGCTAGTGAGGTTATCAATCATAGAGAAGAATGCACAATTGCATATGTCACTAGACCAGCATAATTCCTAACTGCATTCTAAAATGTATTCTTACAAGCACAATAAGTGTAACCATCACCTTTCCTCTAAGAAGGTCCTCTTTGTAGCAGGTGGAGAGCATTAACGAAAACCATAAATGGTCAAGATGCAGAAATCAAATGATGACAGGGTACCCACCCTCAGTTGATAAACGTATAATGCAAGTCCTACAACATAAGTCCTGCAATATTTGAGAAATATTGTGGGAGGAGGGATGGGAAAGTTGTAAGAGACAGAGGACCAGGAAAGCTGCTGTGAGATGTGCCTCCTACAAATGACAGGAAAGCTATATCCATGAAATCTCAACAATGTGACTGGCTCAACAGAAGCTGAACAATAAATGACAACACTAACAGACATGCTAATGTGGAGGCAAAAAAATCTCCCAAGCCCCACTCTTACAATAAGAACAGCAGGCAATTAATAACTGCTGAGAGAGGGAGAATTAGTCTTACCCAGTGATGGATGAGTCCCCTAATTGGTTAGCCTATACCAATTGGTCAACCCTCAAATCATGTACATATAAGCAATAGTAAATGGACTCACAGGCTCTGTTTTTATAATTATGTGTGTATATAAATAAACAATAATTATCAAAGAGGCCATGAATTTGAAAAGGAATAAGAAGGTTTGGGGATGGAGGAAGGAAAGGAAGTAAATAAATAATGTACTTATATGTGAATTAAACTTCTATGATTTAAAAAAAACAACTCTTTCAGGGGCTAGAAAAATGGCCCAGCAGTTAAGAATGCCTACTGATATTACAGAAGACCCAAGTTTGTTTCCTAGTAGTCACATCAACAGGTTCCCAGCTCTGAAGACATATGATATCATTGATTCCATGGACACCTGCACTCACATATGCATACTCCCACAGAGACATATACACATTATTAGAAATGAAAATAAATCCTTTAAAGAGGTCTTCCAGTATTTCCATATCCCATAAGGGGAAGACAGCTTCTTCCACAGGCCTTAGTAGATTGCTTCTGTTCTGACCTCAGGACAAGGAGTATTTTGGGTTTCAAAGCTCACTGAAAGTACCTGACCTGATTCTTTTCTTCACCTTTCTTCCTGCTGTACCTAGGCCCAGCCTTTGAAAGTAAGGTAATGAATGGTATCTCTAATGGTAAGTACAAAGGTACACTTAAGTAGAGGAGGAATGAGATAGAGGGAGGGACAGAGAAGGCAAAAAAAAAAAAAAAAAAAAAAAGCAAGGGAGCAGCATGAGTCATGCTAGTTCATTTCTGGAATTCCAAACTTTTTTTTACCTTATTCATTAGAAGCTATGCTTAGGTTTGTTACAGTCATCTGTCTAATTTATTTAAGTACATATTGGTCAGTACCTAAGAAGTAATTAGAGCTGGGTGTTGGTGGTGAGCGCCTTTATTCCCAACACTCGGGAGGCAGAGGCAGGCAGATCTTTGTGAGCTTGAGGCCAACCTGGTCTACAGAGTGAGTTCCAGGACAGGCTCCAAAGTTACAGAGAAACCCTGTCTCAAAAAAACCCAAAAAAGAAGTAATTAGAATTAATTAGAATAAAGAGAAACCCTTAAAGAAGAGGGGTGGAGAGAAAGGGCAATGGAATTATGTGGCATGAAAGCAGAAGGGGAGACCATCTTGGTTAGGGAAAACAGAACCAGCCTGAAAGACACATAGGGTCCAAAGAAGGGTAATGAGGGTAATGTGTAAGGCTAACAAAGTATAACAGAATATAGCCACATAGGCACGAACAAACTAGTAAATCTCATTACTCTGTATATTTACTTAAGAAAGAAAATTTAAAAACAGTGCAATGGTATCTGTGAATGCCCAACCACATCTGAAGCTTTAGAAGAGAGCAAGACCAAGTAATTTTGATAGGAAGGAATCAACACTTTTTCTGTACAGTAACAGACAACAAATATATACCCGGCATGGTGGCCCACACTTGCAGTCCTAACATATGGGAGAGGCTGAGGCATGAGGTTCATGAGTTCTAGGCCAGTGTGGACAACATAGTAAAACCCAAGGCTCAAAGAAAAGTTGATAATTAACTCTATGCTGACAGTGTAAACTCAACAACAGACATTGTGGAAAGTCAAGAGTGTAGCTGTATATGATTAATAAATGTTTATTGCTAGCCAAAATAAGAAGTACTAAGAGGAGAATGTAGAAAGGCTTCACAGTAGCTTTTAAGAATAAGGTATCCTAAGGGCAAATTCTTTTTTTTTTTTTTCTAATCTACTTGTAGGAGAACCTCTAATAACTGAAAGGCACATGTTAAGGATGCAGAGAGACAATAATTTCTGTCCAGTAGCAAGAGGAGTGTCTCCCAAAGTTTCTAATTAGATGATCAAACTTGTGTGCTATTGAAAGGATAGAAAATACAGCCTAACTCTCCAATCACCCCAGGAAGCTAGAAGTTTAAAAATACTATCTAAAAAGCCCTAAAATCCACAAATTCCAGACCCTGTCCTCTGCCAGTAAATAGGCAAGGTCACAGTCCTTGCTGCTTACGGCAGACAGGCCCTTGAGTACGTAATCCTGGCCTAGTAAGATAACAGAAAATGAGCTGGCTAACCGCTCATCTGACTTCGTAAACTGCTTGTGAAACCCCTGCCACAGTGACCTATGTGTGGGCTTTGTTGTAAATCCTATAAAGACTGTCTCAATTCTGCCATCAAGGTCCTCAGTCCTCTACCCCTGCATGGTGTATGACTGTGGACCCCAGTGCACTTGGAATTAAAAGTCCTCATGCTTTTCATCAAGACTGCTTCTTGTGAGTGATTTGGGGTGTCGCCTTTCCTGCATGGGAGTGTAAAGGTCCATGCTCAGCAGGTCTTTCACTATTAGGTAGCTACTGACATTTCATAAAAACTTAGGTTGACTCCATGCTCCCCCACATAGACTATTTTGAACAGGAGCTAAATCAAATATGACATCTTGTCCAATTCTGCAATGATGATAACATTTTCAGTTTATGGACTAACACACACAGTCCAGAGAAAAAGGAAGAGAGAAGAGGCCTATAACTCCATCAACCACAGATAGTCTTCTATCAGCACCCAGAAGTAATGTGGCAGTTACCACTGTGCCTTATTAAAAATATTCTTAATGAAAACAAAATGATGTCACAGTCTATCATATAAGACAATGCCAGTTGAATCTTCTCTTACGTTTTTATCTGAGTAATTTCACCAACTTCCTTGTTTGTCCTCTTGGAAACATGGCTTCTAAGCTCTATATTGTCTTCCTTCTTTGACTGGACAGTTTGACTTTGAGAAGCCTAGAAAAAAAAGAAAGGACAGCAAATTAAGAGAATCACATATTATTAAATAGGTAGTTCCTATAAGAAAGTCATGGCAGTTTCTCCATCCTATACAGGTAATTTGGATGTTCCCAGGAGTAACAATCTCAAAATTTTATAACAGATGTGGCCCTGGGCCAACCAACCACAGTGGGAGCTACACTAAGCAATCAGAACAATAATACTGATACATATAAAAATAAGTAGCAGCTATAAGTGTTCCCATGAGATGTAGGATTCAATTGTGATTTTCATGCCAGGCATACTGGCTCATGAATAATTGACAAGATAGTTTCTTACGTTTTTACTTAAAATGTACAGATGATACAGGAAACGTGACTAATTTTACTGTCTAGTTTTGCCTAGAACAACTAGCTACTCAGGGCAAACCTCTAACACAAATATACTTATGATACCACCATCTTATTTTGTGAAATGGTATTTTTAATATGTCTTTCAAGAGTATAACCTACACTAATCACGACTACTTTATTTTAAACAATAGAAATCATGAATCTGAATGGTGTCAGAAAAATGTCAATTTAAATGTTATACCTTTAAAATGAGCCTAATTTTATTTCAAATATTATTATCATAATCACATTAAATAAAAAAGAATTCAAGAAAAATTAATCTAAGTAATTTATAAGTACATTGCTTGACTATATAACCTCAGTCAGGATGGGTTTCCATGGAGTGGATATAACCAATAAATATGAAACACTATTTATTAGCTTTGTTTTGTGACATAAATATGGAAGAGTTGGTTTGAAACTGCTGCATTACAGTGCTGAATAAATATCTTGATGGTCTGACCTCATGACTGGGATTAATGCCCTTATATGTGATTCATTAGGGAGTTTTCTTGCCTTTCTGCCATATGAGGACACAGATAGAAAAGAGCATTTATGAGGAGTGGTCCGCAATCAAATACCAAATCCACTGGCATGTTCAAATTGGATTTCCTAGATTTTAAAACTGTAAGTGATATATTTCTAATGTTGGAGCTGGAGAGAGATGGATTAATGAGAAAGTAAAAACATATGCTGCTCTTCCAGAACACCTAGGTTAGATTCTCAGCAGTTCATAACTGTTTGTAACTCCAGTTCCATGGTATGTGACAATCTCTTCTGGCCTCTGCATGCACCACAGAAGCATGAAAGTGAACGTCTATACACATAAAAATAAATAGAAAAATAAATTACATTGTGTGTATAAGTTATTCATACTTTCTTATAGAAGTACAAATACACAAACATAACTTTTCCTGCTATGAAATATTAGTTGTGTTACATGTGCTAATGCTGTGGAATATTTGTTTAGTGATGCAAAGATGAGTTGTGTTCTTTCATGTTGCATGTGTTTAACTCTGTCAAGCTGTATTATTTTGCCTGCCTAAAACACCTGACTGGTCTAATACCTGTATGGCCAATAGCTAGGCAGGAGATGAATGGGTGGAGTTGCCAGGCAAAAAGAATAAATAAGAGAGAGAAGAGAGAAAAAAAGGAGTGAGAAAAAGAGGAGAGATGACACCATGGACTAGCCACCCAGCTACACAGCCCCGTCACAGTGTAAAAAGGAAAGAAAAGTATATAGAATAAGGAAAGGCAAAAATCAAGAGACAAAAGGTAGATGGGATAATTTTAGTTAAGAAAAGCTGGCTATACACAAACCGAACCAAGGTCTTGTGTTCATAAATAAGTTTCCATGTATTTATTTGGGTGCAAGGAGTGAAAAAAACAAAACAAAACAATTACATTGTCCCATACCACACATTCCCCCTAGGGATTCTGCAGGTGAAGGACCAAGGGAAGTTCTACTTTTTTTTTCTAATTTGTGTATTTTATCTAAATTGTATATCTACCTTATTTCAGCCAAAATCATAGAACCATTATTTAACACGATAGGAAATTAACACAAAACTGCAGGCATATATATATATGTATGTATGTATATGTATATGTATGTGTGTGCATATGTAAAGCTGAAATATGCAAAAATTAACATATATGTTATAATCTGCACAAAAAAGATATTGTATTAACAGGGATCCAAAGTAGAGAACTTTGTTCATACAATCATTCCTCATGGGGTCAAACATTGTCTAACAGAAGTATCTTGAAAATCACAAAAATACTTTACAAAAGAGGGCAAGAACATCTCACCAAGCTTTTCTGTAGTCTAAGTGAAAGAGACTTTAACACCAACACTGATTCTCATCTGTGAATTAGAGAGGACTATAGTATCTATTATATGGGGTTATATCAAAAGTAAGTGGCTTGAAAAAAGGAAAACTAATAGAGTAATATTCAAGACATCATAAGCACTCACTAGGCATCGATTATGATTATGATTTTCTAAGAATAATTACTACATTTTTCCTGCTCTTAAATTAACTTACCAATACTTTACTATTTCTGATTTTTCATAACACCTTAACCTTAGTTGAAGTTAAGTGACTGTTTTTGGCACAACTAGACAGTGACTCTGGAATTCTCATAGCACTAAAATGGCAGTGCCACTGATATGGTCCAAAAGGACATCCTGGGCTCAAATCAGGCTGAACTCTCCTGGGTATGAATCATTTGCCTCTGCTGGCTTCTGCAACCCACCAAATTCAACTCCAAAATTTAGAGTCAGTCACTTCAGCTGTTTTTCTCCTCTACCAGCTCCACCCAGTTTTCCTTTCTCACCTACTCAGCATCAGCATCATCCCAGAGCTCTCTTCTTTGTCTCTCTTGTTTGTTCCACAAGAGTTTTACTGGTATGCCACAGAAAGGTTGCTATTAGGTAACAAAAACCTAAACTAAGCAATCCTCAGAAATCTTGTAAAGCACATTTCTGTTTGTCAGGAAAAGCCATCCCTTTTCCTTCCTCAGTGGTCAACTATCGAGTGCAAAGGGCATCTAGTTTCTGATTAACACAGCAGTCTACAACAGATCAAATTTCCATGTTATATCCCAGGCTTTTCTGGCCTGCACCTCCCCTTCCACCACTACCTGTCCCCATAAAAACTGACAAGGTTTTCCCTGATGCCTGCTGTTTTCCGTTTTCTGCCCGCAAGAAACAGCCTGGAAGTATGGTTCCCCAAATAAAACTGCCTTTCTACCCATGGATTGGCCTAGTTCAATAGTTTCACTGTGCCTTACATATGGTGCCATGGCGCGGTGGCAGGACAAGATCAGGCGGCGGCAGGCGGAAAACTGTACTCGTTACAAATGGCATAAGAAACAAATAACAGGGCCAACAACATTGTATCAAACACAGAGTCTCTGTGTATTAATTGGGGCTGGCGCGGTGGCAGGACAAGACCAGGCGGCAGCAGGCGGAAAACTGTACTCGTTACAGTGCCAGAATCTGGTGCCAGAATCTGGAAGAGACACTTGAGCCCTGAACCTGTTCCCTCTTATAACCAAACCAAACTGTCAACTTGGCCCTCCTGGGTACAGATCAATGACCTCTGCTGGATTCTGCCATCCACCACATTTGACTCCAGTATTTAGAGTTAGTCTCTTCAGCTGTTTTTCTCCTCTACCTGACCAACCTACTTATCTCTCCTCACCTACTCAAAATCCTCTTAGAACTTCCTTCCTTCCCTCTCCCTCCCTCCCTCCCTCCCTCCCTCCCCCCCCCCTCTCTCTCTCTCTCAACAAGCATTACTGGCATGCCACACAGCAACCCTATACCCTTTTGGGTTCCCTATCACATGAAGGAGGGATTCCTGTCCACATGATCATGGGCACATCTCTGACAAGTGTCAGTCCCCTGGGGATGCCCTTGGATTAAGACTGTCCTGTGGTACTTAGCCCTTACCATTATCACCCACCCAATGCCTCTATTCCTGACTGTCCTGTGGCACTTAGCCCTTACTATATCACCCACCCAGTACCTCTACTCCTATGATATTGGTGTTCTCCTTTGAGGGGACTCCTATTTTCATGTTCTTTCCTAATTCTTCTGCCTCTTCTTTGCCCTGCTTCTAAGACTTTGCTGACACACTTTTTTTCAAGGGTGTCTCCCTTCCTCCCTCTAACCACCCATGGGATTCCCATTCAGAACCATTCAGAATTAGACTCATCAACTCCTCTTGCCTGCCTTTTCAAATCTCTTTCCCTCTTTGAACTTTTTTTTTTTTCTGAAAATGCGGCTTGACCTCAACACAAGCTTGATAATCATTCTCAATGGCAAGAAAATGGCACGTTGGATTTAGAAATTCTCACAGATTGTGACAGTTTCTGCCACAGAACAAGCAGATGGTCTGAAATACCTTCTTTGCTTCCCCCTCTCCTCTCTACTTTTGATTACTGGGTTTAGTCATATGGAGATTCAAATACCTTTGGGGTATGGATAATCCTAAAATATTTTACATGCTGTTTTACTCCACTGAAAAGCTGGCTCTGGGAATGAGATTTGGCCTGCACACTTTAGACCAAGCATTTTTGTTCTGTCCTGGGTCAGGCTGCCCTCTGACATTGTGACAGGGAAAAGAAGGACAACAGGACAGCCCAGGAAAAAGACAATTATGTGCCTGAGAATAGCTAAAAAACAAACTATACACTACAGAGGTCAATATTATTTATCTCATGGTATTTAAAATTTTTAATAAAGAGAGATTTATATATAAAACTAATATGGCTAAATGTAATCACATCTTCTTAGCTCTCTGAATACCACTCCCCTTTTCTTGGTTTTGTTTCAAATGTTCTGTCATTCAGATTCACAGATATGTTTGAAGCTTTTTCAGAAATGTGAGGTTTCTTTGTCTTGGGATCTCTAAGACCATCAGAGTGTGGTTTTAAAAGTCTGTAAAATCCCAAGCAGAGCTAAAGTTATCCCAAAACTTATAACAAAAAGGGTTTATAGTTAAAAATCTATGTACAAGTAATCTTAATTTGCTATACCATACCACAGATGTTACTTGAACTCAACTCCTTATTTAGGAAAATAGACTTTTTATTAGCTTAATAGACTTTTTATTAGACTATAAAGAAGTGATACCAGGTCTCTAATATTTTGTTTTTAATTTTATTTTCCTTAGATTAAGGAGGAAACACCAGGTCTTTAAGATATTTCACATAAGGCTGATTTTTTTCTTTTGATACAGGGTTTCTCTGTGTAGCCCTGACTATCCTGGAACTTTCTCTGTAGACCTGGCTGACCGCAAACTCACACAAATTGGCGTGCGTCTACCTCCTGAGTGCTGAGATTAAAGGCATGTGCCACTGCCACCTAGCTAAGGATGAATTTTTGTATAATCTTTGTCTTCAGAGTGGAAAACAATACATGAGGACAAAACTATGAAGAAGATTAATAGAAAATAGGATTTAGGAGCAACATGTTTGATAATTAAGGTTTAAAAATTGCTAAGTTTATAATGGTTTATTCAGAAACTAATTTAAAGACATGTCTAACCACTTAATATCTTTGTTAACTTTGTCAGGCTTTAGCTATTTGGAAAAATTATGCAATAAAATACTGCAATATTTTTTTTAAATTACACTATAAAAGGGTCAGGAAAATGAGGTTCCTAAGCTCTCCCGTGGACTGTATATATGATTTAAAGTGTATTTTCATTTAAAACATTATAAATTTTAAGGCTCAACCTCAACAGAGATAAAATTATGGAATCCTAATTTTACAAAAGTTACTAACATTGTAAGCAGCTAATGATAATTAAAACATAAAATTAATGGTCAATCACCTTATAAATGATCAAATTCTGTAATGTGCTCAAAACCATGTTTGTAGTCATGCTAAATAAATTGTAATTCATTTACAGGTAGAGGCCTGGAGGGAGAAACCAATTTTTATATCCCATTATATAGTCTTCTGTATATAATGTCAAAGTTAAACCTGAAGTAAACAACTAAAAATAAGTTTAAGTAAATTTAAAGTTTGTTCAATGTAGATGATGGCCCCAAAACCCCTCAGAGATCTGAATATGGCATTTAAGGTGTTTAATAAAAAGAAGGAACAAGAAAAGCCCCCACAAAGCTTCCCATGATAGACAGAAATAAGTGCTTCTGACAGCAGCCTTGAGTTCACTTTCAAAGAAAATAGACTTCACCCAAGACCTGGTTCAAATGTGGCAACATCGGTTACTGTATGAAAAACTCATCTTACCCTCTACTATGACCCTCCCCAAACTGTAGACAGGCAGGACACTGGAGGGTCAACTGTCCCTCTTTTACTCATCAAAGTAGGTTAGCACCCCCAAGTTCCTCCTCCACAGGAAAATCTCTCAGGTTTTCTGAGCCTGGTGGCTGAAACTGATGATGCCCTGGGACCTTAGCCCCTAACAAAACCATCAAAATTACCATGGAGTAGCCTACGGTAACTGTTCAGATAGTGGGAAATACTCATTTTTAATTGATATGGAGGCCACTTGGCCCATACTGCCCATTTACTCCATAAGTTATTCTCCTCAGATCTCTGTGATGGGTGTTGATGGCTGGCCCCGCCAGTCTATGGCTACAGGACCTCTCCTCTGTAGTTTCATAGACATGAGAGGTAGTTTTGAGTGTCACAATCACTGGGCTAATTATACAATTTAAATCCTGGGATACAGAGCTGATGAATGACAGTCCCACAGAAAAGAAAAAATGGTCTTGCCCCAAACTCTCACAGTGCTTTAATTGATAAAGCTACTCTGGACTACAATCATTCTATTATGATGCAATTCCAAAGCCTAAGGTGCCATCTCTGGATTTTAGGGAAATTTAATCTCTCATAGTTTTGTAATTACTCACAATTCCATAATTAGTCAGTGTTTACTGTTTCCAGAGAACATATAAAGTGACCCAAAGTTCCAGTAAAAAGAGCCTCTATAGCTTGTGAAATTGTGTCACACTGATTCTAAATAAATTCTGCTGTCAACATTCTGAGAGAGTCAAGGTCTGCTGGCAAGCAGGAAAGATCATTCAGGCAAAGAAATATCTAAAGATTGTGAAAAACTACAGAAAAGAATGGGATTAGCATACTCACATTAGTGAGATCTTCAAAAGCTGATCTCTTTTTTGCTATGTCTTGAAATGAAGGTGAAGATGTATGGTTATCCTCTCCACTCTGTAAAAATAAGAGGTAAATGAGCATGGCCTCTGCTGTGTGTGGGTTTCCTTCAATATGGAGCTAGACATTAGGAGAAGTTATTCTTATAGCACTTTTTAAAAATCTTTTAACAATTTCTATTTGGTGAATATCTATTAAATCTCAGATTTAACTCTTAAAATTATAAGAACAAACTCTGTCTTACCTATATAAGCAAGTTCTTACAATTATTAAGCAGAACACTGGGATGTGATCACTTGCTTTGTGCTAGTTACACCATTAACAGTATATAACATAGTAAGTGCTCAAGAACTTGGAGAATTGTATTCATGATACAACATACCATTCCAGCAATTCTAGGAGAGCTAAGAATTACTTTGCTTTCTACTTCAGATAAAAAACTATTCATCTAAATCTTATTTATGATAAATAATCCTAGTAGAAATAATTAGAAATAATAAAACATTATTTTTCTTTCAAATTGACTAAAAAACAGTCAGTTTACTTTGTCTTCTTACTTAGCATTACTGTTAGAAATAATCTCCTCAATATAAAATTAATAGTGACAACTGAACTCAATAAAACTTATTCTTACAAAATGTGGCCAAAGGAAGTTGGGGTTTGAAAACTAATGGCCATAAAACAAAACATACAATGTCATAACTACAATAAGAATATTTGATACAAACAAAGGGTCAATTTAGGTGTTAAATCTTTCCTGATTAAATTTACATGGGAAAAGTCTCTGATTCCCTACATGAAAATCATTTTACTAAGACGAAGTAAAAATTAATAGAAAACATTTATCTGCACACACAAGAAAGCAAAATCTGCAGTGCTAGAGAGTGAACATAGGACCATGTACCTGATGGGCAAGTGCTCTGCCACTGAGTTATATGTCCAGCACAATAAAAAAAAAATGATATGGCCTACTGCTCTGTTTCAGGAAACCCTCTGTTGATGATAATTCACAACTATTAATATTACTCTTGTTAAAACATATATGTTGATGAATATAGCACATAATAGGGTCAGAATATCAAAGTTAAACTATCCCAAAGTTAAATCAGGAAAGTTTAAGTGTACCAATATATTCTTGAAGATTAATACTGGTTGAATATCCTATATCTAACATGTTTGGGAATAGAAGTTTCTTGGATTTAGGCTTCTTCACATTTGAAGTATTTACATATACATAATTAAATATATTCAGACTGGGACCCAGGGGTCTTTCTCTTTAATTCTTTTTGCAAGATTTATTTTTATTATTTATAAATTATGTATATGTCTTGTCTATGTTCTTATGTTTTTGTATGTGCACATGCTTGCAGGTGCCCATGGAGACCAGAGCCATGGGATTCTCCCTAGAGCTGGGGTTGTAAGTGGTTATGAGCCTCCCACTGTGGGTGCTGGAAATTGAACTTACATCCTCTGGAAAAGCAATGTACACTGTAAATGCCCAAGCAATCTTTCCAGCATTAAAATGTACTTTAATTACATGCATGTGTGTTTCTGCATATGGATATGTGCATAGAAATGTGGGTACCCACAGAAGCCAGAAGCTTCAGATAACCTGGAGCTGGAGCTCCAAGCAGTTGTGAGCCACCAAATACAAGTACCAGGACCTGAACTTCAGTTCTTTCTAAGAGTAGCCAAAGGTCTCAACCACAGAGCTACTTCTCCAGCCTTTCTTTTAAAGGAATTTCACTAATGTCAATTCACTGTTCAAAGCAATTAGTTTCATATTGATAATTTGTTCATGCATATCATATACTTTGATATATTTACTCTTCAATTACCCTCTCCTCCCATTGCCAAAATTTCATATTTCTATTATACATATGCCTTATAAAAAGTATAGCTTGAAAGCAATTTTATATAATATTTTTAGTGGACCTGCATTTTTGTATGTGTGTTGTGCATACATATATATGCATGTTTGCATGTGTGTGAGCCCACATATGTGTACATATGTGTACATGTGCAAATGTGTGTCTGTGGATGTGGAAGCTTAAGGCTGATATCTCCTTCAATTGCTCCTAGCATATTCACTGAGGCAGTGTTCCTCGGTTGAATCTAGAGTCTGCCTAAACAGCTACTGTGACTAGCCAGTTTGGTTCAGGGATCCCCTGTTTTTGCCTTCTGAATTACAGGCAACCTGCCATGTCCACTCTGCATTTATATGGATGTTAGGAATTCAAACTTGTCCTCATTCTTGCAACCACTGAAATCACTGAACACTCACCTTGGCCACTAGAATGCCTGCAGTCTGACTGCAAACTCCATCACTTGAGATTAACTATGGAATTTTCCACTTGCAGAATTAGGTCAGCACTCAATGTGTTTCAGACTTTGAAAATTTTAAATGTTGGATTTTCAAATTAGGAATACTCAGTCTGGATATTTAAAAAGCACAATAATATTCTTACTGACTAAGTGTATTACCAAGATTGTAATACAGCCTCCTGGTAAGATACTTGAAGCTTCTAGAAGAATAAAATGTATAGACATGATTATTAATGAGAATTTAATATTATTTGGCTTTGGAAGATGTGGTAAATGGCCTTTACTTCATTCATACATGTTGAAGTATGAGCATTTATACCTTTTGCTCAAGTTACATTGGAGGGATGACTGGGATAGAACTTAAGGCCTGGCACATGTTAGGGGAGAGTTCAATCTGAACCTAATTCCTTTTTCTGATTATTTTTTGAGACAGAGATTCTCTGTGTAACTCTAGGTGTCCTAGAACTCTCTCTGTGGACCAAGCTGGCCTCCAACTCACAAAGATTCTGCTTCTGCCTCCAGAGTGCTGGGATTAAAAGTATGTGCCATTACTGAAGCAAATACTTAATTCCTAGCCCTGTGTTCCAACCTGTAGGTATTGTTCAACTCCAAGGAGTGCCAGAAACAGTCACTTTCTCAGAAGAATACAAACATCATAAAAGATTCCAAGTTCAGGATAAGCACCAAAGTAACACATAAAGAGACTGCACGAGACACTATTGGAAGGAGTCATTTGCTTTAACCTTTTCAGATTGGTCTTCCTCACTGGGCACAATCTTGTTAGACTGAGCTTTCTCAGGCTCCAGATTGGAGCTTTTGGGTAGTAGCGGTGGTGGCATCTTAAGGCAGATTCAGCAGTGTTTCATCCAAGGCAGAGCTGAAATCAGAAAGAAATGCTTTAAAAAACATTCACCAGAATTACCACCAAATTCTGTAGACACTCTCAAGAAAACTTAGTGTTTTCTATAGCATCTCTAGGAAAATGTATGCCTTAGAACAGAGTAGATCTGGATACAAAGTTTGGTTCTACTGCCATTAACCCTGAGAAAATGACTTAAACAATATGGACTTCTGCTGCCTCATCTGTAAAACAGAAGTATACCTATAAATAGAAGTAAGTATACCTATCTCTATTTACAGGGTCTTTTAATTGAGACATACCACAGCTGTGACTTGGTCCCTAGTTTCGACTCAGGAATACTAGGTACAAACATAGGAGTTGTGCACTGAAACAATACAATATATATGACAACTTATATAGCATGCTTACTACCTGGTGAACTTAATATTTTTTTAAGGTCCTGTCCACATAATTTATGTCACTACACAAAAATACAGGAAGATGACTGCATACAGCCATGTATGTATGGCAGATGACTGTACCCAAAACTGGCATTCAATTAGAAGATAGTATAATCTAATTTTATATCTAGGTATCTTATCTAGACACCTAGGCAAGAAAAAATAGAAAACATAACAGCAAAAGTAAAGGAATTACTGAAAGTAATGTGTGATAAGAATTTAATAGTTACTACATCCCTTAGAAGAGTTCTAGCTTTGCCAATCTCAGTATGGGATTTTAGTTTATATTATAAAAGGTTATTTTACTGTATTAAATTACCTCAGTAGTTACAATACACATAAGTTCTGGGCAGTGGTAGCAAATGTCTTTAATTCCATCACTCGGGAGACAGAGGCATGTGGATTTCTGAATTCAAGGTGAGGTCTAGGACAGCCAGGGTTACACAGGGAAACCCTGTCTCAAAAAATGATATACAATTGTAGTATATGACAAAGAAGCTAAATTTATACAATGGAAAAAAGAAAGCATCATCAACAAATGGTGCTGGCATAACTGGATGCTGGTTTGTAAAAGATTGCAGATAGATCCATATTTATCACCACGCACAAAACTTAAGTCCAAATAAAGCAAAGACCTCAACATAACCCACCCACACTGAACCTCTTAGAAGAGAAAATGGGAGGTACCCTTGAATGAATTAGTTCAGGAGACCAATTCCTGAACATAACACTAGTAGCACAGACACTGAGAGAGTCAATAAATGGGACCGCCTGAAACTGAGAAGCTTCTATAAGGCAAAGGACACAGTCAACAAGACAAAAAGACAACCCACAGAATGGAAAAAGATCTTCACCAACCCCACCTCTGACAGAGGGCTGATTTCCAAAATATACAAAGAACGCAAGTAGTCACTGAAACACCAAATAATTCAATTAAAAAGTGGGGTACAGAACTAAATAGAGTATTCTCAATGGATGAATCTATAATGGCTAAAAGACACTTAAGAAAGTACTCAACATCCTTAGCCATCATGGAAATGCAAATCAAGGCAACTCTGAGATACCATCTTACCACTGTCAGAAGGGCTAAAATAAAAAACACCTGAGACAGTTTATGCTGGAGAGGATGTGGAGAAAGCAGCACACTCCTCCACTGCTGGTGGGAGTGCAAACTCATACAGCCACTTTGGAAATCAGTATGGCAGTTCCTCAGGAAAATGGGAATCAGTCTACCTCAAGATCCAGTAATTGCACTCTTAAGCATATACCAAAAAGGTGCACATTCATACAACAAGGACATCTGTTCAACTATGTTCATAGCAGCATTATTTGTAATAGCCAGATCCTGGAAGCAATCTATATGCCCCTCAACTGAAGAATGGATGGAGAAAATGTGGTACATTTATCCAATGGAGTACTACTCAGTGGAAAAACACAATGGAATCCTGAAATTCACAAGGAAATGGTTGGAATTGGAAGACACCATCCTGAATGAGGTAGTCCAGTCAGAAAAAGACTGTATGTCTCACTGTATATACTCACTCATATATGGATTTTAGACATAAAGCAAAGGATCACCAGCCTACAATTCTCACTGCCAGACAAATGAGGAAACAAGGAGGACCCTAAGAGAGACATACAAAATTGGGAGCATGGAGGGAGGGGATACAGAGTTAGGAGAAAGAGAAGGAGAGAAGAGGGGGAAGAGAGGTGGGCATGAGGGTACAGGAAGATTGAGACAGGGAAAGAATAGAGGAGAACAAGAAAAGAAATACCATAATTGAGAGAGCCATTATAGATTTAAGGAGAAATCTGGCACAATGGAAATACCCAGAGATCTACAAGGATGAACCCAACTAACAATCTAAGCAGTAGTGGAGAGGCTACCGTTAATGCCCTTCCACAATAATGAAAGTGTTGACTGCCTTATATGCCATCCTAGAGCCTTCATCTAGTAGCTGATGGAAGCAGAAACAGACACCCACAGCTAAACATTAGCAGAACTCCTGGAATCCAGTTGCAGAGAGGGAGGAGTGATGAACAAAGGGGTCAAGACCGAGCTGGAGAAACCTACAGAGACAGCATATCTGAACAAGGGGCAGCTCATGGACTCCACTCTGATAGCTGGGAAACCAGCATAGGACTGACCAAGACCCCCTGAATGTGGGTGTTATGGATCAGTATTTATCCCAAGTATACGGATGGACTTTGGGAGCCCATTCCACATAGAGAGATACTCTCTCAGCCTAGACACATGGGGGAGGGCCTAGACCCTACCCCAAATGATATAACAGACTTTGAAGACTCCGCATGGAAGGCCTCACCCTCCCTGGGGTGTGGTTTGGTGGGGGTGATAGGGGAGGATGGAAGGGTGAGGGAACTGGGATTGACATGTAAAACAACCTTGTTTCAAATTTAAATGAAAAAGGAAAAATTATATACATATGCACCTTACTAGCAAGTACATTATTATAAAGCTAATTGTTGTTCTGTTACAGAAGAGATCCTTTCTTCTCTGAGAGCTGCCCTTCCAAAACTACTCACATTCAATTTCCATTTTACTGTAGCGAATGAGTTAAGTGAATGACTACCCCCCTCCCAAAAAAATTAATCAATACAGATTAGCAAGCACTGTCCAAAGTATTATAAAGGCTTTCTGGTCATGTTAAAAAACATTTCAAAAAATTGAAAGGTTGCAGTATAAAGAGGTAGAATGGACACATGTTTTAGCATTTGAGCATTCAAGCTTCTAAATCAGTTAACTTACCATCTCTGAGTCCCAGGGACCTCGTTTGTAAAACAACTATAATACCCCTTACATAAAGAGAAGTCATGCAGCTCAAACGTAAATATATATATAAAGCATACGTGGTAGGTGCTCAATAAATATCATATCCTACTCTCCTCTCAATTCCAAACCAATTTTTTTTATCTACATTCCCCAAAACTCAGCCAAGCATCAATAAAGTTAGATTGGATGCACCTATCATTTAGAATGCTGTATGAAATCACCGCTATCACCATTCTTATCTCAAATACATTATCTATGACTTGCCAGAGACCTACGTTATAAAACCTTTACCCTTGAAAATGAAAGATGAAATGTGGAGTCAAGAGACTAGCAAACTCACAACTGATGACTATAGACTAAACCCCTGAGAAAATAAAACTCTGCAGATGATAGTTTACGCTCATTATCCAGAACATCTGCTTTGAGGGATACATACACTAACTTAGGTAAACTAATACCCCAGCCACCAACAGACAGAGGAGGGGGTACCAACACTCTCTAAAACATTATTTTATAAAGGGACACTTGGGGGCTGCAGACATGGCTCAGTGAGTAAAGGACTTGCTTTGAAAGTATGAGGATCTGAGTTTGAATCCAAATCACTCATGGAAAAGCATAATGGTACATGCCCATAACCCCAGAACTGGAAGAGGAGGGTGGAGATGGATGGATCCCTGGTACACCTTGGCCATCCAGTCTAAATAGTTTGTGAGTTCCAAGTTTAGTGAGACATCCTGTTGCAAAATATAAAATGGACATCACATAAGGAAGGCACTTGGGCTTTGATCTCTGGCTGTGTGTGTATAAAATAAAAATAAAATAAAAGCTATGAAAGGACACTCTTGATTTCTACCACCTACAAAACTTCAAACCTTCCTTAGAGGAAAAAAAATCGAATACTTTCCCCTTTTCAGATTTTCTGTTTCCCCAATTTTATGCTTATAATTGTTGGATTCTCTACTGTACCTTCTAGCCCACTCAGGGGTATCAGAGTGAATCTGATCCAAACAGAATACAGGAATGAGTATCAACATCATTTCACATCCAAGGCAGTTGAGTGAAGCAAAGCACTGGAAAGAGGACACATCACAGTGTCACTGAAAGGAGCACTGGGGTAGAAAAATGCCTAAGGTAGCTTTGACCCTGTCAGCAATTGTTTTGATAACGGTGGGAAATCTGTACTTTGATTTTCCAACTAATAAAATGAGGGGATATGACCACAGCTGTCTCCTTGTTCAAATATGATCAATGACATGCAACATTAGCAAAACCTGGGAGATTTACAGAGTCCCAGTATGCAACTAAACAACATCTCCAGGTGTTGTGTATGCATTTTAAAGTTTAAGAGGCACAGCTCTGCAGTCCCTTGGGTCTCTTACTTTCTAATACTCTAACTGAAACTGAGCAGAAGACATCCCTAGGAAAAAAGTGTTGAAGAGGGCTGAAGAAGAGTCAGTAGAAATAAGAGGGGTAACAAGAGATAAAACAAGTTTAAAACAAGTTTTGATCTGTAGTTTAAAACACATTTTCAAGTGGCATTCTTTGTCTTAGAAATCCATCAGATCTCAGGGCACTTTGCATGAAATCAGTCATGCATACTTACACTTGTGAAAGACCCTTTGTAAAAGTACTCTGATTAGGGCCACGTGTACTGGATCATCCATCTGAGTTGGAACCCACTCATTAGCTTTTCTATCTCACCCCCCCCAGTAAACACTCCTTGCCCCATTTTGTACAAGGTTCACTCCAAATACTTTTGGCTGACAGAAGAAGCCCAA